CCTAAGTTCGGGCTCAATGTTCACTATATGCCGGGTTAGGTTCTAAAGTAATAGGTTCTCGAATTGTCCTTGCCGGTGCCCCATTGGGCTGCCGAACCCTCAATCCTGACCCATCACAGGCTTTAGGGGATCGAGTTCAATTTCGAGGGAACACACCTCCTTATGTCCATGCGGAGGTGATTACCATCACGAGGACCATAAGGCGTGAGCTCCAGGAGCGATCCACTATCCCATGCGGAGGTGAAAACCACACGAGGGCATAGTCTCTCACTCCTACTTAAATAGGACAGAGCGGGGTTTTAGCTCATGTTATGATAATGCAGCTGTGCAGTGTGTGAGGAAAAGCGAAAAAACAATCAATAAAAACACTCAAAATCAATTCCCAAAACACACAATTATTCTGAAATCATTAGCAAACAGATCAGTACAACTATTTAATTGTCAATCAAATTAAATTAAAGAAATCAAAATACAAACAAAACTTATTAAAAACCAAACAAGGGATCAAAAATCAAATTAAAACGAATTTGTAATTTTCAATTGCAAAGACAATTAATTAATCGACTATCGGCTTGCCTCTCTAAAAAAAGTCCCCAGCAGAGTCGCCAAGCTGTCGAAACGATTTTTTTCTTGAAGGGTGAAAAACGGTGAGATTTTGAAAACCACATTAATTCTTAATTGCCTCTTTTCATTTTAAAAACATATGCGATTTAAAAGACCTCTCGTTTCGAAAAATTTGAATTTCCTTTACGATTGACAAATACGGTTCGAAGAGTCGCCACCAATCTTTGATTAGGGTGTGATTGGACACCCAAAATTGCTTTGTCATTTTAAATAAAAATTAATTTTAATTAAAACAACAAATTGAGGTATGCGTTACCAAAATCCGAGTTCGGGAGTCGGTTACGTGTGGGGAAGGATTAGCACCCCCACAACGCCCTAAATTGGTACCTAATCGATTAATTAACGTTTTTGCAATGAACTTTACAAATTCGAAGTTAATTTGAATTTTGATCCCATAAAACAAAAATGTAAATTTAAATCATTCAAGAACACTCAAACGAATTAAATTAAAATTACCAAGTCATTTTAGAAAGATAAAGAATGTTCGATTATTTACAAATATCGAGACCAGATCTTAAAGATATAACAACCTTTTCTCGATATATTTAAATAAACGAACATTTCTTTTTCTCTCGTTCCCAAATTTTAGGTGACAAATCAATTTTTTTTGTTTCACTTTCGGGATACACTTTTAATTTAAAATTGTCGAAAGTGGATCTCTAATCAGTTAAGACAACCCACTTAAAACAATTTTAAATTAAAAGGGTATTACCCTTAAATCAATTATGTAACGATGTCGAATTGTACATATGAGGCTAACGTGCAAATTATACAAAAGGATGTCATGCAAAACTAATCATATAATGGCACACATTTGAATAACCATCTTAGTCTAAAATAAAATATGCACATACATTAAAATAACATCAATTGCTATATATATAAAAACCTATTGTCAATAACGACAATCTCGTATTCAATACTGACATGGGGACCAAAATAACAGAAAACCAAAACTAAACATACAAAATAGAAATTAAACACTAAACTCAACAAGCATACTAAGTAACTAAATTGTCATATATAAAAATTACGAGCTAGATACGAAGACAAACAAACAAAAGAATAGTAACACACTGGGTACTAAATTAGAATATGCATAAACAAAGAGAACAGAATTAGGAAAACACAAAAGACTCGTTACAGGACTAAAATAGAAGAACATGAAACAACAGGCCAAAAATATCAACAACACAAAATATGACTTAACTAAGAGATGGATTAAAATAAATATTCTGAAATTTAAGAGCCGAATACATAAAGTTATCAAAACTTAAAATAACATGGCTCGTACTAAAATGTAACAAACATAAAGGTTAAAAGCCAAATTCGAAATGTACACAACACCAAAGCAAGGACTAAAACGAAACATATGAGAACTGCAGGGGACGTCTGCGCGATTAACCCTCTCCTAGACGCAAGTTCTAAACGGTGCCGTTTAGTTTTAACCTAATTTTCATTCTAAATTCAGCCTCACTTTAATAAACTCTCCCCTCCCTTGCCGTTCTCTCAAAGCTCCTTTCATTCTCTCTCAAAGCAACCAAACGAGGCCATGGCCACCATGGCCACCGCCCAAGGCTCCGATAACGACACACACAACCTCGAGTCCACCCCATAAATCACCTTGAACCCTTAAGCTTCAAATCTCTCACAGCAAGAAACCATAACCCAAAGGTCAAAACAACCCCCAACCTTCACTGCTGAACTCTCGACCACCGCGGACTCACCCTCTAAAGCTCCGTTGAGGAACCAAGACCTCACGACCTCGCTCTACCCCTTTGTTACCGAACCGAAGCCTCACAAACCCAAACTCCACCAAGACTCCCTAAATCCCTAAAACACACAGATCAAAGGCCAAAAAAAAGAATACCTTGAGCGATTCTAGGCGGTTCCGACTTCGGGTGGCCAGAGCTAACTCCTAATGACGGGAAAGGTAAGGATTGTCTTTTTTCTTGTTTTATGGTTTCTGGTTAATAATGGTCAACTCTCGGGTTCTCTCATTACTACTGATGGATAATTTTTGATTATTGGTGATTTTTTTCGTCCCAAAAGAAACCCACTCTTAACCGAGGACCTTGGCAGTAAACCATTCCGACGACCACCCTCAACGGTGACTCTATATTTCTCCGGCAATGGACTCAAATAACCAAGGTAATGAAATTACTCTAACTCCTAAATTTCTTTTATTTATTCCTTTACACATAAAAGAAAATGAAGAAATTTTGGAAACTTTTCATGCTCGCACTATTTCACATGGATTCTGTTTTTTTTTTAGGGTATTACTTAATCCTTGCTAAATTTCCTTTGATTGCAAAATAACATGCACACACATAGAAAGAAAAACATATATAAACAGTAAATAATACTCAAGAAGAATACCTCGGAATTCCTCGTATTTTATTGCTTTCACTGGTTTTTGCAATAGTATTCAATTGCTTCTGGAATTTTTCCTCTTGTATTTGTTTAAAAAAAATGTAATACGAAGAAAGAATTGTTTTTTTACTCTCTGATCCCTAGATGGTCCCCCCTTTTTTCCTGTTGATGAATGGTTATATCTAAAAAAAAACTGACCATCCCCCATTTACAGTTTTTTTTTTGATAACTCACAATACCCCCCACTCTCTACAAACCGTTCCCTCTAATTTTTCTGGTTTCTTAACTACCCAGACAAATTAAGCATCTACATTCCGCTTTTAACCTCCGATTGATTTCATCAAATTAACACCACAAAGGATACGATTGGATATAACCTACAAATTTTTAATATAAAAATTTTGGTCGAGGAGTGACAGTGTTGAGATAGTTGGAAAAATTCCTGCAATTAATCTAATTAATTGATTAATTATAAATTCCTTATTTGTCAATTTGTGATTGGATAGAGGGTTTTTTTAGCTCGTAAATGTTGCAAAATCATTGTTTATGTATTTGAACTGACAAAAAAAAAAGATATCTTAATTTAAAATTTTGTATAATTTAAGGGCTTATTCTTTAATTGTTTTAAATATGTGTGCAATCGAGTTGTATATGTATCTACTATATAAATATTTGTCCATCTAGAAGACGTTTCTTTTACTTGATCCGTTTAAGATATTATTTTCAAAATGGGTAAAGTACACAAATGGTCCCTTGACTATAGAATACTACTTTATTAAGTCATTTAACTATTAAAAGTTGTAAAACGGTCCTCTAATTATATAATATTGCTTTGTTAAGTCATTTGACTATTAAAAATTACAAAATAGTCACTCGACTATTAATTATGATTCAAACTTATCATTTTCTATTAAAAATGTGACTGTTGTTTAAGTTATTGATTAACATGATGATTGAGATATGATAGTCAGTTGAGATTCTAAGATCATATTTTATCATATCATAGTCAACAGGTTAATGTTCAACTCAAAATATCTTTCATTTTTTAATGAAAAATGATCAATTTGAAATATAATGAATAATCGAGTGATCATTTTGTAACTTTTAATAGTTGAGAGACTTAACAAAATAATATTTTATAATCATAAGATTATTATTATTATTTTTTTTTTTTGCTTAGATTTGAACTTGCTTGCATCGTGCTGTGTTAGGGGACTGTTTGGGTTCTTGAATCAGAAAAAGCTCGGCACCCAGAGAGCAGAAGCGAAAAAAGGACTCGCCCTTGGAGGTTTCCCCTACTCGAAAGCATGTTAAAATTCTGGAAAACAACTTGGTTTTCGTGCATTCTGATTCTCGCACTACCGTTCCCCTTAAGGGCTGCGTCATAGAGGCTGTTTCTGCTACCGATTTACCCTCAAGAAAATGGTGCTATGCCATTTGCTTTTACTCTTCTTTCTTACTTCAATGTTCAATGTTCATGTATATACGACAATGATTCTTACTTATGTCTCAATTCTAAAGCCTTTCTGTTCCACCCTTTTGCTTCAAGTTGTAAGTTTAACTTTTGGGTTTTCAGTCAAGCTTTTGTTGGTATAACAATGTTTTCATTAAGAGTTGAGAAGAATATATATATGTCTGGCTTTATTTGCTGCCTTTGAATCATATATTACCATGCTGTTATGATATAACTTAATCAGCTGTTCTAAGTTATGCATTTCAAAATATTTGACTTTGCTTCATTTGTATGCAATATGTATGAATGGTCTGAAAGGGCCAAGAGATTTCCAATAAAAGTGGAAAGCAAAACTTCACCCATCTACAATGGAAGTAAAACCATTTATCTTTATCTGGAGACTTCTTGGGAAAAGGAGTCATGGTGCAAAGCTCTTCATCTTGCTTCGTGCAAGGATAAAGAAAAGCTGAGCTGGTTTGCTAAGTTGAATGGTCTGAAAGGGCCAAGAGATTTCCAATAAAAGTGGAAAGCAAAACTTCACCCATCTACAATGGAAGTAAAACCATTTATCTTTATCTGGAGACTTCTTGGGAAAAGGAGTCATGGTGCAAAGCTCTTCATCGTGCTTCGTGCAAGGATAAAGAAAAGCTGAGCTGGTTTGCTAAGTTGAATGAAGACTTCCATGCTTACTTGGCGTCTTTAAATGCTGGATATCTGTCATTTATGAAACCTTCTTTGGTTCTTTAGGTTTCAGTGCTCAGCCAATGGATAATGGAGTTAAGTTTGATGGTTCTTCATCAAAAGTTAGATTATTTTGGAGAAAAATTTCCAAATTAAAGCCTGGTATGGAAAATAAGGGAATTTGGACATCTCAAACTGCCCATGAAGATAGAAGACTTGTGAGAAACAGCATCCATCGCAAGATTCAGTGACTAAGAAAGTACCAAACAGTTCAAGCAAAGAAAATATGGCATTTCCATTACAGCAAGGTTTTCCTCGTTCAGTTAGTCAAAATGCTTCTGATGCTGATTCAAAACAAGACAAGTTTAGTTTTGATGAAGGGACACTTTGCTGGAACTTGTTAATTTCTCGAATCTTTTTTGATATCAAAAGAAATGTAGGGTTGAAAGGTTCTATCCGAGCACAGATTCAGGTTGGATCTTCACCAGAACTAGACTTTCTTTCTTTCATTTTTCTTGGTGCTTTGTATGGCGTGTTCATGTAATTTTTTGCATTTTGGTTTATTTGTTATTATAAATAACAGTTGCATAAATAACAGGTTGGATCTTCACCTTGAATTTTGATTTGTTTCCCAAGCCAAAACAAGGGAAAAGGAGACCTATTTTGTTTATTTCAAGTAATTTATTTTGTGTTTCCTGATTTAATGTCTCCTTCATTAGTACAATTACCAACAAAATTTTGGTTTTTACCCTGTATTTTGATGTCAATGTGGACTACCTTTCTTTCTTGTGTACTTTGTACTTTTACTGTGTCAATGTTTTGATTTAGAATTTAATGGTCATTTTGCCTTCTAGGTATTCATGTAATTAGTTCTTTTGAAAACGTATCTTAATGTACATCGAAGGTGGTTTTTGATTCTTTTCATGCTTTGATATAACAGAGAACATTGTCTAATATGAAGACCCCCAGTTACATGGGTGAAGTCATTTGTACTGATTTAAGCATTGGAAATCTCCCACCTTATATCCATGCAATGAGGCTTCTTCCTACAGAATGAGGTATGCGCATTTGAAGTTGATGCTGAATATTCTGGTGGAATTCTGTTAGAAGTTGAGACCAGACTTGAAGTTAGTGACAAAGATTTTCAAAAAAGCCTGGTGGACTCAAATTCAGAAACAAATTCCGTTGAAAATGTCTCTTCAAACCTTCTTGAAGGCTATTTTGGAAAGCATTTGAATCTTCCTGAAGAGGATGAGGCCGACCCTAAAGTAGGTGAGTATAAAAATTATAGCTAATTTTTGTACACTTATCCATCAACATGGCCCAAAATATCTGCATAATGCATAAATGTGTTTTGATAGTTTTTTTTTAATTATAACATAATTGTAAAAAATGTGGATACCTATTTATGTTAAAAGCATTTGGACACACATGTTGAAGATCAAGTAGCAGCCTCTGTAGAAAGTTGTATAAATTAGAATTTGAAGAAATTTCTAAATGGAAAGCCTTGTTGACTCCAAATCCCTTCCCTGGTGTTGGCATGTATTGATGTCTTGCTGTAATGAAGTCCCCCTTGGTATAGGAGGTTTAATGTCACCATGATAATGGTTGCTATTTTTAACTTTTGATTTCACTCTCTTCGGATTTCAGATGGTCTAAAAGGCAGTAAAGCTACACCAACAAGTTATGCATCCCAATGGAAGTCTGTTGTAAATTCCTTAGCCAAACAGGTCTCACAGGTTTGTGTATAATCTCTTTTTGTGCAGATGCGGTTCTGCTTACAAGAACCAAAATAATGGCAATAAAGGGTTATGAAGGTATTTATGTAAAGATAGATAGTTTAAGATCCAGCAAATTAAAAAAAGGGAATATTAAATCAGCAAATTGAAATACTTTCAACTTGGTATTTGAGGATCAAACATAACCTGTATTTTCAAATTGCAGGTGCCTTTGTCTTTGTCAATAAGGGTTGCATCCCTTCGAGGAACGCTGCGGTTGTATATAAAGCCACCCCCTTCTGATCAGTTATGGTTTGGCTTCACGTCCATGCCTGATATAGAGTTTGGCCTTGAGCCTTCTGTTGGGGAACACAAGATAACTAGTGGACATATTGCTTTATTCTTGATCAGTCGGTTTAAGGTATGAATATCATTTGTTTTTTGAAAAACAAATCTCCTACTATTTCATTTTATTCTTTGGATTGATTATTTGAATTTCCCCATGAAGCATTGACTATCCTGTGACGGTGTGCACTAGAATTTTGGCACACCAATCATTTGGAAGTGTGTGCCAAAATGGGTGATTTTTAAAACAAAATTTGTGTTTTAAAAGAGAAAAAAATTGTGAAAAACCAAGTGATTATTTTCTCTACTTGTGCATGTGAAACAAATAAAAGTTGAAAGATGTCCCTAGTTTTAGATTTATTTATCTTGATTTTATTTGGTTTTAAAGCAATTTTATCTACCGAGTTTACATTATTTAACGTGTAATTAGGAACTAAGCAATTGACAATCACATTATATGTTCGTACATATAAAATTCCCTATGCCACCAGTTGTCTCGTGGGAAGAAAAATAAAAGGCTTACGATCCCACTTCTTTGACTAATACACCTTATGTTCTAAAGCGTTGTAATAGGGAAAGGTTTTAACTTGTTCACTGAATATTATGAATTCCTTTTCCATTCTCCTTTTTAACCTAATACATGCTTTTTTGGTCATAGAAAATTTGTGGTGAATTTGGCTTTATCTTTTAATTTGTTAGGGTGTTTCTCCGTTATAATTTCTTGGAACCATTGGTTTTTTCCTACAATGTTTTTAGACATTTTCGAATCTCAAGACTGAAGATGATATGGTTCTTGATGATGCGTATGACTAAAAATTTGTATGCTAAAATTGCCCTTCCAATTACTTATATAATATTTTTTTTTCTACTTGCATGCATCTTCTTACAAGTTCACTCATCGTCTAAAATTGCCCTTTCAGTGATCAGATCTGGTATGATACTAGACCTACCTTTCAATCTTTGCTTCAGCCATAGAAAACATATAATGAGCTATGTCACAATTTTCATTGCTGAACTTTGGCATCGATACTATGAAAGAAACTGACCAGGTGAACTTACAGCTGATGCTTCCATCATTTGTGCAGGCAGCTATAGGGGAAACAATGGTGCATGCATTCCTTGGATGTTAGCATAAAAAGATGATTGGGTCCCAAGGGAAGTTGCCCCATTTATATGGCTTAATCAAGAGGCACCCAATCACCAGTCGTCGAGTCACCAAGTCTGAAGCCGTGTCATCATCAAGCTCTTCAGCAAAGAGTAGGTCCTTGCAAGATCTAAGAACTCCCCTTCTTGTAACTGATGAACCACATGAAATGCATCAGCAGAATAGAGAGGAAATTTCAGATTCTGTGTCAGTATCATCTAGGTCTCTGACTGAGTCTGAAAGGCAGAGTGATGTAGGTGATGACTATGATTCAGGGCCAAAGAAGACGGGGAGGAGAGCAAGGCTGATAAATTTGACGAAGAAAATGGGAGAGAAGTTCGAAGAGAAGAAGCGTCACATTGAAGAAAGGGGTAGGCACTTTGTTGAGAAAATGAGAGGACCTTTGAGACCAATAGAAACGTCCAACTCATCATTCTTTGTATGTGGTTATTGCCATGCTCTGATTCAATTACTTTTGTTCATAAATACAAATGTTTAAATGTGTTTCATTTTCTTACATGTTTAATTCCGCATTACCAACAATTAGATATTATCCGACGAAGTAATCAATCAAAAGCAATTAAACTGTGACAAATTATTTCATCCTTTTTATTTCCAGAATACAATTTTATTTTATGCATTTACAGGCTAAACGAATGAAAAAATTGGTTACATCAATGAAAAGCTGAAGCAGAAAATGAAGAAAACCAACAAACTAAAGGACCCTGATCCAACACTAAAATCACTATTTTATCAACCCTCAGCTATTAGTGGTGTTGTAGGATAATTTTACAATGACCGATAGTGGAATGCCGAGCTTGTGACCTCGGTCTCCAAAAAGTCCAATCTTCCCAAAGCTTGCCACAGATTGGTTCATTGTTGCATTAAAGATTATTGTCATGACCTGCTTCTCTCCCATGCCAATGAAGAATCGAGTTGGAGTCACCTTCATCGACACCCCATATGGAGCACTCCAGCCAATTTTGTACGTTTCATTGCCAGCAATGTTGGTAACTGTTCTTTCGACCGTTTTAGACTGGTTCAGTCTAGCAATGGTAATGGATGGCAGGTTTAGGTCAGCACTACCAATTGTAGAATTATAGCCACAACAGTTTTGACCAGTGTAATTCAAGACCACTGGACCAGAACCATTGATGCCGCAAAGAAAAGACATATAATCATCGTAAGCTGCAATAAGCAAGTAGATAGAATGAGATGCATATGGAGATAAAACTACTGAAATTCTTACAGAAAAAAGCAGAATGACTCACTTGAATCCAAGATCAGACCAGGATCAAGAGCTGAAGTAGCATCCACAAAACCACTGCCCATGTCGAATGGTGTTGCTGGAGACTGGTTTACATCAGGATCAGCATAAACTCGCTGGGCCATTATGGGGCCACCACTCTTGTCATGAAGAGAAGCAGTTGTGGAGAGCGCAGATATGATGGCTGCAGGACTGAAATGAGGAAACTTTTGTTTTATCAGTGCAGCAAGCCCAGCAATATGAGGAGCAGCCATGCTTGTTCCAGACATCATTGCAAAGCTTTCACCTAAGAAATCAAGTTAATTGTTTAGGAATAACGTAGCTCATATAGAATTTTAACTGAACTATCCATTATTTCCCTATTTTAATACCTTGAAATTCAATGGAATCTGTACCAAGAGAACTCCAGGCAGCCCATATCATATTTCCAGGAGCAACCAAGTTAGGTTTCATTATGTCTGCATCATCTAGGGAACTATCTTCAGGATCTGGTCCTCTGGCTGAGTAATACATAACCTTTGGAGCAGTAATGCTATAGTTTGCTTTCAGTCCACCTGAAATGGTAGCCACTGCCCCAAATCTAACAATTTTCCTTGTAAGTCCATTTCTCTCCAAAGAAGAATTGTAATATTGGAGTAAAATCTGCTCACAACAATTATAAAAATCAGTAAATTTTCTGATTGTGTGTGTTTGTGCATGTGTGTAGAGGTAGAGGAAGGGTACTCCAAATTCTAACACTGGTAACAATTTATCAGATGTTTTAGAAAGAACTTCCAATATTCTCCCACCATATTCAATTAAAAACAAAGAAACGAGTCATGAGAAATAATAATAATAAATTTTGTATGTGGCTTGCAGAAATAATATGTAGAATCTGCACCTTGGAATCCTCTGGAGATGGAATTATAATGCCAGGCATTTCCAATGGAGTGGGATTAAGCTGAAAACCAATTACAAAAGGATCCATGTAGAACACAACTCCAGCTGCACTGAGGTTCTTTGAAGTTTCTAGGGCCTGTTTGATTGTAGAGAGTCCAAGCACAAATCGGATCGAATAGCTACAGATTAACAGGTTTCCCTGGATAAGTTTCTCATTGAAGTAACTGGAGTCTTGGCATTCGCTCACATACATATCATTGGCAACTGCTGACTCATTGCATAGAGCATGGACTGCCGATATCAGTGTATACATTCTATCCGTATCTGTCCCCGCTGCCAAAATAAAAGAGGAAGAAAGTAAGTATTACGTAAGCTTAGTAATAATGGATACTCTGCATGACATTCATTATACCACAATTCCATACATCAATGGGTTAGTGGCATAGGCTATGATATATAAGGATTGAACTACTAATCATAAATTTCAGGAGTGAAACGATTAGTTAATGAAGGGGAGAGAGGAATTTACTACAAAAATCCTGCAGAGAAAAGGAATACGCATGTAAAAGTGGCAAATCAGTATAAGAAAGATACTTTTAAGTATAGCCATAACAGGCAACATCCTTTTGATGGGGAGATCATACAAGTATTAGTTATTTTGTATAATTCATATTTATCAGTCACTCGATGAAGAGGAGAGAAGAATTTACAACAAAATTCCGGCACTGAAAGAATATGCATGGAAAAATAGCTAAAAATAACAAAATAGTATAAGAAAAATGTTTGGTATAGCCACGGCAGTACCCTTTAAATGGGGAGAAGCCAATAGATTTGAAATGTAAACTTACGTGCAAGCCCAGCTCCCGGGATAGTTACATTGTTTCCAAGGATGATGGAGTTAGAATATGATCTGTCATGAGAGGCAGCACCAACGGTGAAGATCCATGGACTGAAAGAAGACATGCTCTTAGGTGATGGCCCAGTATTGCCAGCAGCTTGCACAACAAAAACGCCAGTCTTTACAGCGGATAGCAAAGCCATGTCGATGGGATTGAAAAATGTTGCAATACCAGGTGGACGCCTGTTGGGAGTTATTGATAAGCTTATGATGTCAACCCCATCTTGAGCTGCCTGAAAATGTATCATGATAAAGCTATAGATAAGTGGTGCAAAAATGGTTGCAGTGAAAGGAAAGATTCTATCTCCATGCATAATTCTTACAAATAAATAAATAAACGTATTTCCACTGTAACCAAAAGAAATATTGCCCAAGAAGATCCCTGTGGCTTATTGACACTGATTTAACAAAAGGACTTCTTAAACAGAGAAGGCATGTCGATTTGGAGCAAATGTAGAAAAAAGAGAGGCTTCTTACAACAATGGACGCAATTTTTTTTCGGGGGGTGGGGAGGCTCAGGTAATTTGTTAGATAAAAATTGAGTTATAATATCAGTTCCAAAAAGCAAGTCTCTAAATTATCATTTTCAAATGGTCATTTACGAGTACATAACCCAAATACTACTCAACACTTGCATTTTAAACTATGATGTACCTGATCTATACCAGCAACTACATCTGCAGCAAATCCTCCGAAGCTCTTATACAAAGCCTTGTAGACAGCAATACTGGAAAACATGGCCACATCATTAGTATGATTAAACAGAAATACTGGAAAGGAGTCTGATGCATCCCTATAGTAAACCTGGCTCAGAAAATTCAGCTGGAATCATGCCCAAGACTCAGCAGCATAGCTGAATGCGTAGGTTTTTTTTTTTTTGACAGAGAATGCGTAGTTGAATGAAATAACCAAGGTTCAATTTGTTAAATAATAATTTCACGAGAACTGAAAATGACTAGTGCTCAAAGTATAGTTTTGGTAAAAAACTCAAATCGGGATCCGTAAACTTACTGTGAACGGGGAGCCATCCCACTAGCATTTCCAAAGTGGTGCCCGGCAACCACCACTGGAATCCCATGGTTTCCTGCAGCAACAGAAGCTGTGTGCCTGCATTAATATTATATCCATTGGTAGCATTAGAAGATTGAATCAAAACCAATAATATTAGGTCAGCACATAAGCAGGTAGCCAGAAGTTATAGCAGATCACTAAGCATTGACACTATAGTGGAAAATATAGGCCCGTTGTTCATACATTATGTGAAAAGAAGGTTTTTTATATATGTAACAATTATTATTCAAAAAAGTAAGCGGTCATCTTTGAGATTCCAACATCAAGCAATTTGCTTCACATTATTAATATTGTCAAAAAACAACACAACTTTTATTGCATTGGGAAAGACAAGATGATATTTTGTTTAAATCAATAACACTAAAAAGAGGAACAGGTGTGCAAAGTACTACCCTTAAAAATCTAGGGAAAAAATAAGGGAAAAGAATGTCACTCAAACACATATATAGGCTTATCTAATAATTACGAGAATTGTCCACATGGGAGCAAAGCAAGGAGGGAAGAATATCAAATAATATATTCAAAGTCGGTTCTTCCAACAGAAAAGAGAAGGATGGTCAAACAAGTTTATCTGTAGCATAGAAGGCTAACAAGTTTCTCAAGGGATTGGAGAAATGTGTGGGAATCATGACCACAAACCACAATAAATTACTCATAATGGCATCTTTAGTCTGGTGATATAGAGCTCACAAGTTTCTATTGAAAACTTACAAGTTTCTTTAGCATATAGAGCTTACAGGTTTCTATTGGGAACTAACAAGTTTTTTTAGAATAAAAGAACTGAAAATATTACTAACACAACAACGATCCACAAAAATGCAAAAGGTTCACTCACGTGCCGTGGCCATCACCATCAAATGGTGATGCATAATCCTGTGATGAATTGAATATTCCTCTTGTTATAGCAGATGCTGCAAAATGGCGTGCTCCAACAAGCTTCCTATTGCATGATCCGGATGGAAATTCCCGTGTCACCTCACAAATGCCAGAGAAATGGGCTGGAACTGGGTACGAATGCTCGGACACATCATCAGCAAAGCTGGGATGAGTTGGATCAATACCAGTATCAATTAACCCAATTACAATTCCCTCCCCAGCAGTTTCAAATCCTCCTCCCTGGGACCATGCACCCTTAGGCAAACCCAAAAACTGTGGAGTATGGGTGGTTGCAGTTCTAACAGAGAAATCCATTACAACATTTGCAACTTCTCTTCTCCTTGAAAGCTTTTTTGCCTAAGAAATAAAGAGTACAACAAAACTAAGACCATTCTGCTTAAATAATAACAAAATTTTCAAAAAGGAAATTAAAAGCTTATATTCATGACATCTTCTAAGACGCTAAGAGCCTAAATGATATGTACAACTACACAAAGAAGATAAGTCAAACATATTTCATGTATTTAGTAAGTATAAATAAAATATTAAAACTTAAAAATGCTGCAATTTTCAGGGCGCACTCAGCAGGATAATGATGATGATGGCATTTGACGAAATGATGGGCAATTATGAGGAATGATGATTGATGATATACCTGTTCAGGGTTGATAAACACAGCAAAGCCATTGACCAAGTAGTGGTAACTATACAACTTCAGATATTTCTCCCCCCTCAAGGCTCTCCTTAACAAAGAATCATGAACTCGAGAAATATATGATCGATAACTGGAATGAGATCTCGAATTATTCCTACATATAAAAGAACACATCCAAAATGAAGAAACAGTCAAGTTTTTTTTAAAAAAAATTACATCTCCGAACAACCTATAATTATAAAGGATCCAAGAAAAGAAAAAGAGATATGCAACTTGAGAGAGAAGCGAACAAAGGGAACAACAAGCACAATAATCAGCATTCGACAAATTATTGGTTATTTATGAAAGTCAAGTGTCAACATGGTGAAGCTGAGACCCAGAAATCAGAATGTGTATCTTAAAAAGCATTTTGCAATTACAAATACTAGTTTCCAGAAGGAGATTGTGCTCCTTTTTTGTAGTAATACTGACCCCAAAAAAGAAGAAAAACATAATATAAGGTTGTCAAAACTCAAGGCAGGACATATACTAGACTTGAAGACATTCCCCAACAGTCAATTCCCCTAAGCCCCACAGAAAGAAACAAGAGGAACCGTTACTGTTTAAATAATAATTAACCATCAACAGTCCAGAAATTATTTTTAAAAAACTATTAAAACAAGCATCTACACTTCAGAAATTCTACGTACTTAAATTATTAAAACTATAAAAATGCAAAAAATAAATCAATTTTTTTTTCAGGGGAAAAAACACTTTTTTCACCAAAAAAAAAAGGAACTGTTGCCGACAACGGCTTAATACTACTGAACCGAGGGTAAAAATTCCACACCTTGGTTTTTGAAAACTGTTTAATCTCCCCGAAGAAGAACCATTGTGGAACGGATGACGAGCCTGCCTTCTTAGCTGTTCCTCAAATTGATGAGCCGCGGGAGCTTGCTTAAGAGTGACGATGTAAATATCCGTGCTTGCATCTGAACCCGAATCCTCCTGGCTCAGAGTGTTCACAAAAAACCCAAAACAAAATGGAAACAGCACCAAAAACAGGCAATGGAAGTTGCCCATTTTGAGTGAAATCAAAATCCCAGCTTCTCAAACTAAACAAAACCTTCACACTGAAAGATACAAGCAGCAGTAGCAGAATAAGGTTCAGTAAGCGAAATAGGGTAAGGTTCTGTATGTTGAAGAATTCAATGCCAGAGGTGGTGAAGAAGAAAAAAAAGCTTACCCTCCTCCTTTTTATGAGGAATGTGGGAACACAGCTGTAGTTGAAGAAAACAGAGAAAGGGCACAAAGAGCCGTTAATTAAGATATAGTGGATTCATGGAAATAGTTGAGGGACACTGACAGCATCATTTTTTTCCTTTTATTTACCATTGTATTTTTATTATAAAATAAATATTTAAATTATACTTAAAATTAATTTTTTAATGTTTAAATAAATTTTCATCAGAAATAAATATTTAAAGTTTTATCTATTATATTTTTAGGTGATATGTCACTTCTTGTTTTTTTTTAAAAAACTATTATTTAAAAAAAATTAAAATCTAGATGTGACATTTTTTTAACGGATAAAAATTTAAACATATATTTATAAAAGAAAAAATATTAAAATATTTTTTAAATAAAATTTAAATATTTATTTCTGTATTAAACCTAAAAGAAGTTCAGATTATGAAGGGAGAATCTGTAACTTTCCTCGGATGCTGTGTTTTGTTTTTTTCATAACGTTCTTTTGTAGTTTTAATCATTGTTTCAACAAATATCAACGTTCATTTTCTTTTTGGCTTCCTCCGTTTTCAACTGCTGAGTTATTTGATGATTTACACACTTTCATTTCTAGATTTAGGGTCGGTTAGTTTGACTCTTAATCGAATCATTCAATATTGAATATTGAATCATTCAGTATTTAGCGCGTTTATTTCGTATCTCAGAATAATTCAGTATTAACTAATTCAATAAAACAGTACTGAATGATTCAGCACAGAAGTACGTTCTGAATGATTCTGAGTTAATTCATACATAACTTCTGAATCATTCAGCATTTAAATCATTCGACGCTTAATCATTATAAAATAAACAAACAACCCCTTAAAGTTTTTAATACAATCATTGAGTTAGAAGTTTTCAAGTCTATAATTTAATGATAAAAATTAATAATATTATTTATTTAAATTATTTTTTACTTTATTTAAATTATGAAAACCAAAATTTAAGAAATTAAAGAGATAATTTTTCACTTTTTTCTTACAAAATTGGGAATAAAAATCACAATAGTGGAAAAAGAAGCATACGAAAGGAATGGGGGAGGAAAGGTTGCGATGGGGATGGGATTTAGCATAAATTGGGATCAGATATTTGATCCACTTGAATTTGACTCAAGTAAATTTATCTTTTTATCCATTATTTGATTTGAATTTATAAAGATTTTATTTGATTTGACTTTTAAATAAAATTATAATATAAATTATATCGTGATCATCCAACTATAACCTCTTTTTAATTTAATCATTATTTTTGAATTTTTATCAATCAAGCTATCAAATTATTTAAATGCGTTCAATTAGACCACTTATCGTTAATATTTAACAAAAATACTAATATAACAATTAATAAAATTGATATAATTAATCATTTGATCCTTAATATTTACACATTATATCAATTTAATCATAAATTTAATATTCAGTTACATGACGACACATTTCAATATGTGATTAGAAATTATTATTTAATTTTAATTGATTTAATTTAATATTTACACGTGTCACCACCTAAAAGAGGGATAACGAGTTAATGCAAAAAAAGCTGCTGTTGAGTTTTGATATCGATCAATTACGGATGGCCAACGCGCGCCTACATCACTCGGCCTGTAGTATCAATTGGAAAGTATTTTACAACAAAATTTATATATTCTATAGATACTGATGGGGACCAAAACGGTTTAAATAATTTAACCGCCAAATTATATATCCTAGCACAGATTACAATTTATTTTATATATTTTTAATATCTTTAATGGTAAAAATAGTTGAATATAAAATTATTTTTTAAAATAATCTATAAAAAAAAATTGTCTAAGTTACTCTCCATAATTTATCTGTTTGTGGCATAATAAATAAGATAACTATTTAATTCTATACTCGAATACTATTATAACTTTATACATATATATAAAAGCATGTTATCCATTCATATAATCGTGGTATAAACGATGTTCATGCATACTGTTTGAAAGCTAAAAACATCCACATGTAGTCTTAATGATGATAAAAAAAACTGATAATAGTCTTAATAGATTCACATCTTAAATTTATTAAAAATAAATTAAGTTATAATTTATTTTTTATTAAAAATTTAAATTATTAATAAACTTGAAAATAATTAATTTAATGATTATGTATATTGGCCTATAGTTTAAATTGCTTATTCATTTGCCTAATCTCATTGTTTGACTCTCCAGACTAGCAGTGTGACTTCCTTTTTTTTTCTATCCCCAGTAGCTATAAATTATATAACATTTATTGTATATCATCTCGAATATTCATTGCAGGCCGATTTGTTCAGGCACGTGGAGACCAACCCCTTTGTCCCAAGTTCGATACTCGGCAGCAACATTTTCTTTCTTTAACTCATTTTCCTAGTGATCACTGCTATAGAGTACCCAATTGTATATTAGGTTTGATCTGACACTGTATGATTCTCACTCAAGTTTGAATATGATCCAACTTAGTTTTGTTTTTTTTTTTATTAATTTGGGGTAAGTAGGAGATAATATATGTTTATAGATAATTCTTAATTATTTGACATTACACGTTTACATTCCTAATATTCTTAATGTTCGAACTCGAGACCTCAAAGAATAACAACAATTCATTTATTACTGAGGTCGCTTGATATGTGCCTATCTAATATGAGAACCAACAAAAAAATTATAAAAATAAAATGACTCAAACTTGATTTTTCTATAAAAAAACAACTTTCTCAGTTTTGCCTTTAAAAAATAATCTGATCCAAACTTTATTTTTTTTAAAAATCTCTAATCATATAAAATCATATCAAATATAGTTTAAATCTCATGTCCATCTAACATGAGAACCAACAAAAAATTATAAAAATAATAACCGTTAAAGTGATACATGTACCGAGGTTGCGTCGTAGTGTCACATATATACTAAAAAAATTCATTTTGAACAATGATAATTAAATTTCACTAATAAAATTAAAGGAACAAATTAAAATTACAACATATTTAAATATAAAGAGAAAATGAGGACAATAGTCACACAAAAAATTAATACAAAAACAAAAATATTAAACACAAAGATCCAAAGAAAAACGATTTTTTCCTTTAAGAATGACAACCAACATCAAAATAACCTAATAAAATTTATAAAACTTATGTCTCTGTTGAACAAATTTTTTTACCAAACAGGAAATCTGACAATATTTAACCATCGACAAGCCAATAAAAAAATATCTTAAGGATCTTTGTGTGAGCACCAAAACAACCGCAAAAATATGTAAAAACTTACAAAAAGCTATAATCATACTACAAGAATAGAGAAAATTGTATCATAAAGACATAGATTCTTATTTGAATTTGGAAAAAAAATAAGAGAAAAGAAAAACAAATAACATAATACGAAAAAATAAGAGAACTAATAATCACGATGATCGATAACCAACATTAAGACTAATGTCGTCGTTGGATTAAAAAAAGGATGATGGTAAAAAATATTTAAAATATTTAAATTTTAAAAAATGTATTTTAATTTCACAACTTAATAATTATGATGATAATATTTTATAGTGTCATGTAACGATATTATATGATATCATGTGTTAAATAAAAAATATTTTAACTTTATAGATTTAAGAGAAATTGACATGAAACACTAATATGCTAATAATTATTTAACATGTTGTATGATTATGTGATATTGTATGTTATTTCGGTTGATATCATATATTAAATTTGAATTGAAAAGTTGTGACATGCCATTTCATTCATAACAACATTAAGGACATGTATCTTTTTAAGAAAGGAGTGAAATTTTTAAGTACTCAAATCAACAATTTCTAAAGTGTATCATGTTGAACGATTTGTTATAGTTCAAGGTCCATTCGTAGAATTATCCTAAGAGAAATCATAAATTTAAAACGTTGTCGTAGAGTGGAAAATTTTGTGAGCAGAGCCGTTGGCATCGGATATTTTGTTTGTGGGGGGGGGGGGGGGGGAAGAGTGAAACAAGCCTGAAGGAAAGAGAGCATACATGTTTTGTTTTGTGGTGTGTCGGTGGGAATTATTTTTAGGTCGATCGATCATTCGAATTTCTTAGGGAAGAAAACGAAAGAAATGGCTGGGAATCCAGATCACTTGTTCAATTTGAGGAACAATTTCTTCTTGGATGCGTACCAGGTTGCCATCAACAACAGCGATATTCCCCATCTTTCCACCGACGACGCCGTCGAACGCGACTGTCTCGTCTATCGTTCTTATATCGCCTTGGAAGCTACCAAGTATTTCCAACCCTTCCCCTTTTTTATGTCAATTTGATTTCTTCTTTCTAAGCGATTTAGAATTTAAGAAAATTTCAGCTGGTGATCAGTGAGATCGATTCCTCCGCTTCCACTCCTCTCCAAGCCTTAAATTGCTCGCTCTCTATCTCTCCAATCCTCGAGACAAGGTTGAAGTTCCTTTTGAGATCTACTTCGTTTTCTTTTTTGTTACAGGAAATATCTGTTATTGATTGAGATTTTTTATGATTAGGAATCATCGATTTCCAGCTTGAAGGAATGGCTGGAAGATCCGGCAATTGGAAACAATACTATCTTAAGGTTGATTGCTGGAATCGTTTTCATGCACGAAGAAGATTATAATGAGGCTCTTAAACGCACCAATGCCGGTGGCACTATGGAATTGTGGGTTTTTCCTTTTTGACTTCATTTTTCTCCGTCTCATATGTACGTCTTTATTTTAATTTCTGATCTTACTTCAATTATTGGTCTTTGCATCTTCAATTTCGTGAACATTTGCTATATATGTAGTGTTATTTTACCTGGCCTGCTTAACCGTAAGTCTGGTCTTTGATTTTTAGGCTCGTCAGTGTCTTAGGCATAGAACGAAGTACAGGGTGTTCTTTGTTAAGGTAAAGATCACATTCCATTATCTAAACTGAGAATGGTAAAGGAGAATAGAAACAGAATAGAAAAGGAAATATTGTCTTGGTTCGGAATTAACAACCGACAGAATTCCATGTTGGTTGGATAAATTAACCACCGTATAGCCTTGCTGATGTTTAAATATCTGATACTTCATGTCCGGAAAAAAAAATTGCCGGGTGCCTAATTCAGTTAAATCATTCTGCATCTAGAGCAATGATATAATAGGACATGTCAATTTTCTGGTCTTATTTTTTTTATCAAAGAGAAAACATACTGAAGTTGTTGCATGTACTCTCATAGAAAATGATTGACATCATTTAACACTTTACTAAGTTGTTCTCTTTGTTACATTGTAACAAAAAGATTATCTGTAACTGGTTTAGGACACAAATATCAATTGCTCCCGGTTTCCAGTTCATTGAAGATACCCAAGCTTATATTCTAAGTGACGAGCTTTATTTCTTCTTCTCTCTGCAAAGAGAAAAATAAGTGACCCATCCTGATCAAATGGATCAAAATAGATGCAAAAGACATATCAGAAAATATTTTTGATCCAATCAAACAGATGGTATTTTTAAAATTTGTCTGCCACTGCCAGTATATCTCTTCAAACTACAAGATACCATAGGGATGGGTTAGCAAAATTACAGTGACTAATTAATTAGGCTCTTATATGTTGCAGCTGACTTCTACGAGCTTAATGCATGTATTTAGAAATACAAGGAACTGTAGCAGTATATATTTGGAAAGATTTTATATGTTGTGCCTGTCTTCTACCTGCTTAATATATATATTTAGAAGTAGAAGGAACTTGTAAATAAGGTTAGATATAACTGAAATCCAGTGTTTACCGTAAATACAATCTAATAGTGGTTCTGTAAATGATGTTGAGTTATTCTGGAATATAATTTTGGTAAATATGCTTGCAAATTAGGAGTTGATGTGCTATTCCTCTAGAAAATATGTTCCTTCAAGTGAGTCCTCTGAAAGGCCTTATGTTCCTGCTATTGACTACTTTAACTGCTTAAGTGAGAAACTGAGTAATTTACACGTGTACAAGCAAATTGGAAGTTCTGGTACATCTGATGAAGTCATTGTGCTGTCTGCTTTCAGGCATGTGCTGAATGTGCACATATTCAAAAAGATGCACCGGTCAGAGTATGCAGAGAGACATCTGATGGTCATGCAGCAGATTGATGAGGATCATACACTGACACAACTTGCAATTGCATGGTTGAATCTGGCCATGGTATGGGATACTTTTCATTTTAGTAGCACGATAAATGAGAAACAATGGATGGTATAATGACATTTTCTACCCTATCAGGGTGGTTCCAAGATACAAGAAGCCTTCTGATGGTCATGCAGCAGATTGATGAGGATCATACACTGACACAACTTGCAAATGCATGGTTGAATCTGGCCATGGTATGGGATACTTTTCATTTTAGTAGCACGATAAATGAGAAACAATGGATGGTATAATGACATTTTCTACCCTATCAGGGTGGTTCCAAGATACAGGAAGCCTATATGATCGTCCAAGATTTCTCTGAGAAATACCCTATGACTGGATCGATCCTCAAAGGGAAGGCTGTCTGCTGTCTGCATATGGGAAGCTTTGATGAAGCTGAAACACTTTTGCTCGAAGCACTTAATAAGGCAAGCATAATATGTGGCAACTTTTGTTTTCTCGATTTTAACTTATGATTTTGCATTTCTTTTGGTGTTTGTTTATACCTCCAAGAACAAGAATTGACTACGGCTATTGTGTTTCATGATTATAAATTATTGTTCTTTCAGATTTAATACGCATCAAGTTTCAATTAGTGTAAATATAACCTCTGAATGGCATCAAGCGATAGTGGATTTGACTCTTAAATTTCTTCCAGCCCTTTAAAATACTGTCCGTTTTTTAATTTTGGATTCATCATGATGCTGAATATTTCACTCCCAAGTTTTATTGCTTCAAAACAATTAGTTGATACTCATGTTAAGTGCATGTGATCAGGGTTTTGTTTGTAAATGGATACAGGATGCAAAGGATCCTGAAACTCTTGCCAAGCTGGTTGTATGCAATCTTCACCTTGATAAATCATCTTCACGCTACCTAAGGTAAACTAGCTTTTCTTTTTCGTTGTTTTCCTTGACTAATTCAATTACATTTTTCCAAAGTGCTCTATAAAAAGAATACAAAAGGCTAGTTTGCTTGATCAAAAAGACTCCAACATGTTCAATAGTTCATACTTGGTAACTAGATTAATGGGATACAGCATACTAAGATGAGTTTTCATTTGTTATTCACGTTAGCATACTTTATTCCTGTCTGTGTTTCTATCAGATATAGTCGAAGAATACAAAAATTAGTGTATCTCTGAACCAAACCATTAAGTTTCTATTCTGGTTTCCCAAAGTTGGCAACATAGCCATGTCTTCATAATGATTTGACTATCATGACAGAGGCTCCTAATAAGGATTTTGCATGGTATGTTTTCTCTCCTTATTTGCTTCGCAATTTGACTCTCAACCTTAATTCTAACTTGTGAGGCTTGATATTTCAAGCCTTATTGTTGGGTCCTCCAGTAAAGAAGTTTATGGACTAATATCTTACTTTTCTGCTGTTGCTGTTCTAGATCTTAACTGATGTGCTGCATTCATAATTGATTTGTCTTTGGTAAATGCCTCAATCCTTATCATGTAATGATTAAATATGAATGCAGCCAATTGAAACTCACACATCCAGAGCACATTCTTGTTAAACTTGCATCATCGGCAGAAGACAGTTTTGAAAGAGCAGTGCAATCAGTTGCTTGAAGATGTTGAGTTATTCTGGTAGAAGGTAAACCAGAATCAACATATATTCCGTCTGTTGACGAAAGAGGAGATTTGGGTTATAGTTGGCTGGATGGTTGGTTGGTTAGATAACATGAAATTATTAATTTGCTTTCATTTAAATAATTATCATTATTTATTTTAAAAAATGGTATTATGATAACTTTTTTTTTAATTTATTTTCTTGTTTTTAAAGAAAAGATAAGTGATTGAGGTATCGCGGTGGAGTGAGCTTACTTTGAACATTGTTGCATTGCACCCTGGTCAAGTAGTTGATCACCAGCACGGTAATAAGCTCATCACGCCACATTTTGACGATTTTGACGTCTTTGTTTGTCCATCAAAGTGTCATTCAGTTCAGCTAAGTGCTTATTTTTCTAACAGGAAGGAGCAATAATGAGCTAAGCATAGCTCTTATCATACCTTATATTGACCGCTCCCGAAGTTTATGGCATGCCCACTACTATCCAACCAACCCGACATACACCAAAATTTTCTTCTCTAATGTCCAATTTCAATGACTTAAATCGCCTAAACATACTATTTCTAGTGATTTCCCATCACCCGAAGTTTACGTTCACCAAATCATTAGCAACATCATTTCTCACGAGGACTTGAACCCAGCACACAATATATTTAACGAAATTTCATCTAGTGCTTGTATGTTAATGTGGTGTTGAATACATTTTTGCTTGAAAATTCCAACTATTAACCAAACCGCATGGATACATCAAAAATCTAAAAAAAATCGGCTTTCTGGACAAACTTTGATTTTTTTTTAATTGTATGTCCAAATCATTATATTTTTATTGAGAAAATAATTGGATTCGTTTAATTTTATAAAGATTTATGCATCATAATAATAGGTACTCCGTAATTTTAAAATTTATTAAAGGAAAAACAGATGTGTGGTACAAGATAAATTATTCATGCCTATGTTCTCTCATATTGTGCGAATGATGTTAGTGATTAAATTTGGGCCAAAGATACCTTGACAACAAACAGACAGTAGCTAATATCTATTCTTACTATTAAAATTGCTCCATAGCTTTCCCTTTCCCCTCATCACTGATTTGCCTCCCAATTATCGTCTTCTTCTCCATTTATTGTTTATTTCATCATTATATCCATATACATTACACAAATATATGTGTCTTATGTTCATTTCTAAAAATAATTATTATATTTTTCTAAACTATTCTGTTAATTTTTTTTAAAAAAAATCATTAATATATTTTATATATTAAAAACATTGAAATAAAATTTATAAACAAATATTATATTATATAATATAATATAAAGGAATAAATCTATCTAAATGAATGGTTGTTATTCCTAATCAGGTTTGAACATCAAAGAATAAGGGATATTTAAGATTTTATTATTAAATGATTGAGAGTTTTCAGAAAAATATTAAGACTTATAACACCCTAAATCAATAAAAAAAACTCTAAAAATACTAAGACTTATAAGTAACCTAAATTAATAATAAAAAAACTCTAAAAATGTAAGACGAAGATGCGTTACTGTTGTGGATCCAGCATTGTTTCCCACGTATTTTCCGTATGGATATGATTTACCTTTTTATTGCTGTAATATAATTCTATTACAAAACATTTATTCAAAAATAAAATAAAATAAAATTCTATTACAAAACAGTGTCTAATAATTATTGGTTAACAATTATTGTGTGTGCGCATATGTATATATATATATATATAGATAGTGGTACCGGTGATCGACATTTCAAACCCCTTGTTCTTCTTATCTAAATTATAATCAAATGCAGAGTATTAGGAACACGGAACCAAAGAAAGCATCCTTAATCCAACTACTGTTTCTGCATATGCGTCCGTTGTTGTAGCTTCACCACCCTAGCTAGCCAGCAATCCAATAAGCTAATTAAACTCAACATGTCAACCGCCGTAGCAGCAGCAGCAGCAGCCGCCGCAAGAGTCTCATCTAACCACAGTTCTCATCATCGAGTAATCAGCAAGCAGTGAACCATCAACGTTGGACACCCTTGTTCCCACCATCGCCACAACCCGCACTGCTCGTCCCGGCTTTTAGCCGTTATGAATCACAGAAGCAACGTGACTGGAACGCGTTCGTGCAGTACCTGAGGATGCATCACCCACACTTGCATCTCTCCCAGTGCAGCGGCGTACACGTTCCCGAGTTCTTGGAAGATCGGTTCGGGGACACCCAAAACTGCCCCTTTTTGGTGAACCGGCCTGAACCACCACCACCGCCATGCTCTTGCCCCCTCAATGAAGCCTGGAGCAGCTTGGACGGTCTGGTCGGACGGCTCCGTGTGGCTTTTGAGGAGAATAGAGGCCAACCGGTGATGAACCCTTTCAGTGCTCGAGTTGTAAAGCTGTACCTGAGGGAAGTGAAGGAGTCTCACTCTCAAGCTAAGGCTAGAGGAAACAGCTTATAGCTTAAAAAACAAAGAAGAAATTCAACAGCCGCTGATAATTATACAGCTTGGGTGGTCCTGGCTCATATATGTTGTTGGTCGCTCTCACTGGACTGGACTACTAATCTCCAGCTTTTTCTTTTCTTCATGCATCAGATTAATGCAAGAAAATTAAACACACTGTTTAGATTCTCCATGTTTGATTTTATTTTAATACTCAATTTTATGCTTTTATTACAAAATTCATGATAGATGACCTTGAAAATCTACTTTACGTAAAATCTTTTGAAATCTCATTAGCGACGATATCTATAAATAACACATTAGCGACGATATCTGTCATTTTTTAATAAAATAATCCTTGTGTTTAAGATTAAATCGATGTCTATAAATAATTTCAATTTCTGTTGGATCATAAACTTGATCCATTATGGGAGCCTAAACCCAAACCCAAACTAAATTGATATCATTACTTACATCATTTAATTAAAGATGTCATTGCTTACATCATTTAATTAATGATGTCATTGCTTACATCAATTTAGTTAGGTGAGAGTTAGATATTTGTTGAATTTGTAATGGTTTAAATTAGTTTATTTGTGTGGTGTAGGATTGTTCTTGAGTAGTATAAATATCCCTTCCCATTTTAGTTTTAAGCATCAAGAAAAATTAAGAGCTTCTAAGTGAGTGAAGAAGCAAAGTCTTATAAGAGTGAGTTGTAGTTCTTGTTTTTGAGTGAGAGTACTCTTGTAATATTTGTTTGAGTTTCAATAAAAGTTGTTTGTGTGAGTGTTTTATTTACAACAAAGTGGCATCAGAGCGAGTTGGAAAGATCGAAGGTCTCGACGAGAGGAATACGACGCCGCCAGAATTTTCTCAATCTGAGTTCTGACGCACCGCCACGCACCGCCGGAAGACTGCTGCCAGAAAATCGAGTTGACTCACCGAGTTGAGCCGAGTCAGCCGAGTTGGAGCCCTTGACCGAGTTGTCTAAGTCCCTCCAAAGTTTTTTTTTCATCGTTCCGGATTCATCCGTGCAATCGGATTTTACAAAATCTCATTATATTGAGAGATATGGCAAATGGTATGGCACCATTCCAAGTTCCAACACTCAACAACAACAACTACTACAATTGGAGTATCAAAATGAAGGCACTTCTTGGATCACAAGATGTGTGGGATATCATAGAGAAAGGCTATAACGAGCCTGCGGATGATGATGCTTTTGATACTCTTACACCAGATCAAAAGACAACTTTGAAGGATTCAAGAAAGAGAGACAAGAAGGCTCTCTACCTCATCTATCAAGCATTAGATGATGATGGTTTTGAAAAGATTTCAAGTGCAAGCTCTAGCAAGGAAGCGTGGGAGAACCTGCAAACCTCTTACAAAGGATCCGAGCAAGTGAAGAAGGTTCGTCTCCAAACATTAAGAGGTGAATTCAAATCCTTAAACATGAAAGCATCTGAGTCTATTTCAGATTATTTCTCAAGAGTAGTAGCTGTTTCTAATCAATTAAAAAGAAATGGTGAAAAGTTAGACAATGTGAGGATAATAGAGAAGATACTCCGTTCGTTGGATCCCAAATTTGAGCACATCGTCGTGACGATTGAAGAAACTAAAGACTTGGAAGAAATGAAGATCGAACAGCTCCAAGGATCATTGCAAGCATACGAAGAGAAGCATAAAAAGAAGCATGAGTTTACTGAGCAACTCCTCAAGCTGCAACTCAAGGATATGCATGAGAGCCAACGCAATGATAGAAACCAACGTGGCCAAGGCAGAGGTAGAGGCCATGGACGAGGTGGAAGTCGAGGTCGTGGACGAGGCTGGAATTACAACAATAACAATTCCAACAATAACTATGAGAAAGGAGAAAACTCAACACGAGGCCGTGGAAGAATTAATCCAAACTCAAAGTATGACAAATCTCAAATTCGATGTTATAATTGTCAAAAATTTGGGCATTATGCTTCAGAATGTAGAGCTCCCAACAACAAAATTGAGGAAAAGGCCAATTACGTGGAGGAAAAGACAGATGGCAAAGAAACTCTTCTTCTAGCACGAAATGAAACTGGTGGTGGCCAAGCAAATTCCTGGTATCTTGACAGTGGTGCAAGCAATCACATGTGTGGAAGGAAAGACATGTTTGTGGAGCTAGACGAGTCAGTAAGTGGAAATGTTTCGTTTGGAGATGATTCCACAATAGCAGTGAAAGGGAGAGGTAACATTCTTATCCGTTTGAAAGATGGGAGACATCAATTTATTTCAAATGTCTACTATGTGCCCAATATGAAAAGTAACATTTTAAGTTTAGGGCAACTGGTAGAGAAAGTTATGATATTCATATAAATAATTATAATCTTTCTATAAAAGATGATAAAAATAACTTCATTGCTAAAGTGCCGATGTTAAAGAATAGAATGTTCTTGATCAACATACAAAATGATGTTGCAAAGTGCCTGAAAGCTTGCTACAAAGATGCATCATGGCTTTGGCATCTTCGATTTGGGCATCTCAATTTTGGAGGTCTAGAGCTATTATCTAAGAAGGAGATGGTGAAAGGACTACCTCACATCAACCATCCTGACCAGCTCTGTGAAGGGTGTCTAGTCGGGAAACAATTCAGGAAAAGCTTTCCAAAGGAGTCAGAGACAAGAGCTAAGAAGCCACTTGAGCTCATCCATACCGATGTGTGTGGACCGATCAAGCCAAGCTCTCTCGGTAACAATAACTATTTTCTTCTATTCATTGATGATTTTTCAAGAAAAATCTGGGTATATTTCTTGAAACAGAAGTCAGAAGTTTTTGAAGTCTTCAAGAAGTTCAAAGCAGCAGTGGAGAGAGAAAGCGGTAGAAAGATCAAAGCCATGAGATCCGATCGAGGTGGAGAATTTACTTCCAGGGAGTTTCAAGAGTTCTGTGAAGCAAATGGAATTCGTCGACCAATGACAGTTCCTAGATCCCCCCAGCAAAATGGTGTGGCAGAAAGAAAGAATAGAACAATCCTCGACATGGCACGAAGCATGCTCAAAAGCAAGAAACTACCCAAAGAATTTTGGGCGGAAGCAGTATCGTGTGCAGTCTACTTGTCAAATCGATCTCCAACAAGAAGTGTATGGGAAAGACACCGCAAGAGGCATGGAGTGGAAGAAAGCCTGGCATTTCCCACTTGAGAACCTTTGGAAGTATAGCCCATGTTCACGTACCAGACGAGAGAAGAACGAAGCTTGATGATAAAAGCGAGAGTTTTATCTTCATCGGCTATGATGCTAATTCGAAGGGCTACAAGTTGTACAATCCAGACAATAAGAAGTTTGTGATTAGTCGAGATGTGGTCTTCAACGAAGAAGAAGAATGGGATTTTAACTCTCATACAGATGACTTAAATTTCTTTCCTCGGTTTGAAGAAGATGAGCAGACAATGAGGGAGCAACTAGATGAATCTCAACAAGAGCTTACAACTCCACCCACTTCACCAACATCAACCACTCAAGGAGACTCATCACCTTCATCATCGTCAAGTGGGAGTCAAAGTGAAAGAGTTGTGCAACGCACAAGAAGCCTTAGAGATCTCTATGAGGTAACTGAACGACAAGATAATCTTACATTATTTTGTTTGTTTGCCGATTGTGAACCAGTGAGCTTTCAAGAAGCGGTACAAGAAAAGAAATGGAGAGATGTGATGGACGAAGAAATCAAGGCCATCGAGAAGAATGACACATGGGAACTTACCTCACTTCCCAAGGGACATAAGGCGATAGGTGTCAAATGGGTGTACAAAACAAAGCAAAATGCCAAATGAGAGATTGAAAGGCACAAGGCGAGGCTAGTTGCTAAAGGCTATAGTCAAAAGGCTGTAATTGACTATGATGAGGTATTTGCTCTTGTTGCTCGATTGGAGACTATCAGACTAATCATTTCTTTGGCAGCTCAAAACAAGTGGAAGATACAACAGATGGATGTAAAGTCCGCCTTCCTAAATGGAGTTCTTGAAGAGGAACTTTACATTCAGCAACCATCAGGCTATGAAGTCAAAGGGCATGAAGACAAGGTGTTGAAGTTGAAGAAGGCTCTTTACGGGCTAAAACAAGCACCAAGGGCATGGAATAGCCGAATCGACAAGTACTTCCAAGAGAATGGTTTCAACAAATGTCCCTACGAGCATGCTCTATATATCAAGATCAAAGATGAAGATATTTTGATCGTGTGCATCTACGTGGACGATTTGATCTTCACCGGAAGCAACCCAAGCATGTTTAATGAATTCAAGGATGTGATGATGAAGGAATTCGAGATGACAGACATGGGGCTCATGGCGTACTACCTTGGCGTTGAAGTTAAGCAACAAAAGGATGGAATTTTCATTTCACAGGAAAGCTATGCAAAGGAGATCCTAAAGAAGTTCAAGATGGAGAACTGTAAGCCAATAAGCACACCAACAGAATACGGGATCAAGATGTCCAAACATGAAGAAGGTGAAAGTATAGATCCAACATTCTTCAAAAGTTTGGTGGGAAGTCTACGCTATCTAACTTTCACGAGGCCCGATATTCTTCACGCAGTTGGATTGGTTAGTCGTTACATGGAATCTCCAACAACCACCCATTTTAAAGCCACAAAGAGAATTCTTCGCTATCTGAAAGGTACAATTGACTCTGGCTTGTTCTATTCAGTTTCTAATGATTACAAGCTTGTTAGATATAGCGACAGTGATTGGGGTGGAGACATAGATAATCGAAGGAGCACTACTGGATTCGTATTTTTTCATGGGAGATACTGCTTTCACATGGATGTCAAAGAAACAACCGATTGTCACATTGTCCACTTGTGAAGCGGAATATGTTGCTGCTACCTCATGTGTTTGTCATGCAATTTGGCTTAGAAATCTATTGAAGGAGATTGGTTTGATACAAGAAGAGCCTACCAAGGTTTGTGTCGACAACAAGTCAGCCATTGCCTTAGCGAAGAATCCAGTATTCCATGATCGAAGCAAGCACATTGATATTCGCTACCACTATATAAGGGAGTGTGTTGCAAGAAAAGATGTGGAAGTTGAATATGTGAAGTCACAAGATCAAGTTGCTGATATTTTTTACCAAGCCACTGACCAGCGAAGACTTCTTAAGATTAAGGAACCTACTAGGGGTCACGAGATCAAGTTTAAGGGAGGGTGTTGGATCATAAACTTGATCCATTATGGGAGCCTAAACCCAAACCCAAACTAAATTGATGTCATTACTTACATCATTTAATTAAAGATGTCATTGCTTACATCATTTAATTAATGATGTCATTGCTTACATCAATTTAGTTAGGTGAGAGTTAGATATTTGTTGAATTTGTAATGGTTTAAATTAGTTTATTTGTGTGGTGTAGGATTGTTCTTGAGTAGTATAAATACCCCTTCCCATTTTAGTTTTAAGCATCAAGAAAAATTAAGAGCTTCTAAGTGAGTGAAGAAGCAAAGTCTTATAAGAGTGAGTTGTAGTTCTTGTTTTTGAGTGAGAGTACTCTTGTAATATTTGTTTGAGTTTCAATAAAAGTTGTTTGTGTGAGTGTTTTATTTACAACAATTTCTTCGTTATTTATTATACGTGATTTGTACTGTTATTAATAAGATTAAAGAATTGAATATCTAGACAGAATTGTTAGAGTCTAGTTTTCCTTTGTTGATGTATAGTTCATCTCTTCTTCTTCTTTTGATCGGCAACGGCACTAATTTTAATATTAGTTGTCGATCGTCAATATTCTTTATTATCTATTTCTTTTCTTATATTGTATCCATGTTTTCTTTTGTTTTTTTTATTTTCAATAAGTATGCATGTACGACACGTTTTCATTTGCCTTTGTGGCACCTTTTTTTTAATCTTTTGGCATGTTTTTTCCGGTCGCTTAGTCATTTTTTGAATTTATCTTTTTTCTAAGGGTTTATTTGATATCGTCGTGACTAATTAAGATGGTGCTTATCTGATATCTTGTCGATCTACTCTACTTTGGACCCTCGGATTATATTTGAATATCTGATTTGCATTCGTGTATAGCTTTTCAAGTCGATCGAGCCTGATTTGCTATTTACCGATGGTCTTTTAATAACTTGATCCCCTTTTATGGTTCATTTGTTGATACAGTCAAATTTGTTTGTATCTTTGTCTCAGTTTCTTAGTTAGATTTTTAATATTTTCTTGTATGGTCCTTATGTGATCTTAAGTTACTAGTTTTGTTTAAATGATTATAGAAAAATTTTTTAATTATGTGTCTAATTAACGATTGTGGTTGTAAATCTTTATTATAATTTGGGATATTTGTTATAAAAAAATGAATATTATGTAATATATATAAGGAAATAACAGTTTAAGGAATTGCATGCTTGAATTATTGCAGAATAGCATATAAATATGCTTAATAATTAGATAAAGAAAAAACAAGTGTTTTAATTGGAGAGGAAAATGCAAAGCTGATGCTTGAATTATTGTAGAATTATGAATATGCTTTTATAATCAGGGGGTCAATGAAACAAAATACACGCGCCTTTAAAGACACAAGGGTGTAGATCACTTCTATGTTATTTTTATATATAAATAATTCATTTATTTAAGTATTTTTTGAAGAAAAAATTAAGATGGAAATACACAACAATGGAATGAAATTTTTTATTGTCCTAAAATTTTAAGGTTTCGCTATGACTAATCTTGATTAACCGTGTTGCACACCGGGTATTAGCAGGTGAGTCTCCAGAGGAGATTTTCTGCAAACATAATGACTCGAACCTGAAACTTTACTTAAACGATATCAAGTTATTTACTGTTTGAACCAACACTGTTAATATGGAATTACAAATTATAAAGTGACGTTGTGGAAGAATAATACCCACTTGATAACAACATAAATCTTCTTTCATGACCAAGTTAGGGTTTCCATTGTTGGACCAAAAATTAAAGCCTTAATTTCTGTGGCTTTGATTATACAAGGCTTAGCCCAAGATCGTCCTGCTGCTCTTGTGTCTCTCAACTGCAACTAAATTCAATTAGTGTTCCATCTTAACCAAACCAAATCCATCTACAACAAAATTCAAATCACACAATTTTAACTCTTGATTTTAAATAAGTAAATATTTCATTAAATGCACACACTTGATGATGAGTCATCTGACAAAAAACAAATACTTGATTGTAAAGTTAATAGAATTCGGATGAGTTGACGACACAGTTAAAAAAACTCTCAACATCGATCAATTTAAAACAGATTCTCACCAAAGAAGCTATTTTTAAATCATGAAACTGCAGTAATCCAACAGTTATTGCATTAATCAGGAATTTCTGATCTAAACATTTATAAAGAAAAAGAAGTTGAATCCCAACTTTGTTTGGTAAAGAAGAAAAGTTTTTTTTTAATAACCTCACTCGTTTGCACATATCCCTAGACAAGAATATTTGACAAGAAAAGTCAAGATTTTCAAACGATTTTTTTACCACCTATTTCATCACCATCAAAGCATTATAATCCCCCCCCCCCCCCCCCCCGTATTCTCCCCCTTTTCCTTAATAAAAAGAAAAGAAAAAAGAGAAGGGCAGTCCCATCCTAAATCAAACAGCTGCTGAGTTTTCCAGTCATGTCTGATGGCACATATTTGTTTTGCACTATTGAAACCTTCTGTTCCTCAGCTTTCTGTCCCATCTGATAGGAATGTGGGACTCCACTCATCCCTCCCCCCCCCCCCACCCACAAATATCCGTACTATTAAATGAATAGCAACACAAATATACACCTTTAATATGAATTAAGCTTCAAAATCAAGGTTTATGGACTTTGTTTTAATTAGAAATAAGCATTGTTGTTCCCTGGTCAATCAAACAAACCAAAAGGGTCCATTGTTTTCTTTTCTTTCCGCTCATCCTGATGGAATCCTCGTGGAAACAATAGGTTCAGAGGGTCTGTCTCTATCTCATCCAATTCAGCAAAGAAATCCTCGGCCTGCTGGGAGTCTGCCATTAATGATGGCTTGTAGTTTTGAGGTACTCCTTGGGCAAATTCACCATCGTGCATTTCCAGCTGCTTCTCCATGTCATCGCTCTCTTCTTTAGCCGATGAGCTGACAGTAGCAGGTAAATTAGTGGGAGACAATGCATCGTTGCTGCTGTCTTTAAGCTCTTCATCCTTGGGGGCTGAAGAAGTATTATTGGTTTTGGATGGCTGAGACCTTGTTGATCCCGCGAGAGCTTTCCTTTGAGTCGGCCATGGATGATTGTGCTCCGATGTATAGGTGATAACAAGCATGTTGGGATCATTTCGGCTTCGCTCCACTTGCTTCCTCGCAGAGCAGCCTTTGGAACTGCTGCATCTGTAGTATCCCCTTGAATACATGAAATGCACAATGTCGATCATAATATCTTTCCATATATACATGACAGTGAAGCAAAGAAGAGAGGAAAAAAACATTGGTTATTTATGTTTGCATATATTTAGAAAAGTATCGGCGATCGATGAACATGTACAGATACAAATGAACAACTGTGAAAGGGAGACTCGGCATGCTCGAGTGTACCATAGTAAATATATAATTTTTTATTATTATTATAATTAAGAAACATTACAAAGCAACCAAAAAACATGATTTCTGCAACTTGTCATCTCAGAAGACAACAGAATAGCCACTGGAACTGCAGCTTTAGTTTTAGTTTCTCAAACTTATTAGCAGCTTTTGGCTGCTCATCTTGCCAATGATAACGTAACTAACTAGTAATAATATTATGTTTAATGATATAATATAATGATCTATATTAATAAATATATACTTATTATATGTACCTTGGATAAGGGGAACCTTTGATGGGTTTCTGCCCATATTTTCTCCATGCCCACAGGTCCGAAGGAACTACTTCTCCACTAGACCTGCTGTTTGCAGCTGCTGGTGCTGGAATACAAACCACCTTCTTAACCTGACTCTTTCTATATGTTTATATATATATTTCCACAATAATTTATGTTAGTTATTTTAAAAACTTAATCTTTTAAAAAACAATGAAAGAACATGAGATGACATTATTTTGAACATAATTTTTCCCAAAGAAGGTGAAAGTGATTGTTCTATATTTTTATAGACAAATAGCAGTGAACATCATCATCCATGATATTTCAGGTGGGTTAAGGAAGAAAACTACTTTCATATAATAACACGAAAGCTAAGTTTCCCAATTAAGCTACATATCTAGCTTTCCAGGTTTGATTCAAAGTCTTTCCAGATTTCAACCTTTTTAAGCATTAATATAAACCTCAGAGTGAGCGAAACTTGCCTGCAAATCATACACTCCAATGCATAAAATTCAGGCAAATATTTATGGGATTTGATTTATTAGTAAAAGTAACAATAAACCCTAATTTCTCACATCCACTACATGATTTATGAAAGTAAAAAGAAAATTCCAAAGTTCCGAAAATTTCATTAATTCCCTAAATGTTATTAATTCATGCATCGTGGGTGTAAATTAATGAGATAAGGAAGAAGAATATAAAAATATAGTAGCTAGTTGAGGGGTTTATTTTCAGAGTAAAATAACGAAGGTTGAGCATAGAAATTAAATATTACCCTAACCTTCTCTTGATACCCAGATTCCGCGGAGATGAGATCTGCACTGGGGCAGTGTTATCAATCAAGCAATGTTTGGAGGCGGTTTTGGCATTAATCATGTCGCTTGGAAGAACAGCAGGCGCCTTAATTCCCCTCGGGGAAACTCCCGTGGTAGCAGCCATCATCGGCGAATCACCGGGCGACAAAGGTAGCTTACTTGAGCTTACTGGGGAGATCTGAATCCGAGAAAATACGTTGCAAGGACTCCGCGTATCTTCTTCAAACAGTTTGCTTTGACCCACTTTTGTTGTTAAATCGGGAAAGTTGGTTGCATCATTAACGGTGGTGGAGCTGGTACTGATGATGCGATGATGATCGGCTGGATTAGGGATGGTGAAGTATGTCGAGCAAGCAGCCACGTGGGGCTCTTGAAGAAGTGGATCGGAGATACACGAGAAAGGGTCACCGAAAGCGTTTAAACCATAACCTTCCATGGCTGAAGATGTGAAATTCAATGGATCGGAGGGGAATTGCTGCCAGGTTGAAGTAGGAACCATGTTTGAGCCTTGACTAGTGACACAGCTCAACGGACCACCACCACCACTTGCCCGAACTATGTCGTTTAAATCACCTTCGCCTCGGTAGTTCTCCATTTGTAAGGAAACATGTAAGAAACAAACAGCGAGCTCTCTCTTATTAGAAAAAGAAAACAAAACCTATATCTAGAATTTCTCCATTCCCACACTTCTCTGAGCTTCAATTTGCACCCACGCTAATTGCAGACGTGAAAAAAACATGCAAATGTTTTGATTTTTTGAAGAGATGGGTTTTGGCTATTGGAATCGAAAAACAGGGTTCTTTTAGTTACAAGGTTTGAGAACAAAACCGATCGACCGATATAGTTTTCTTTCTTCACATCAAAAAGCAAACAAAAGAAACTCAATATTGTTTTTTTTTTTTCTGATATTTTCAGAAGAGAGAAAGATGAGGGGGAAGAGAGAATCGCTGACTTTAATACAAAACTGGTCTTTTTTATAAATGATAGTAATTAATAAACAAATGGTAATATTACTAAATACAACCTCACTTAATTGTGTGTGTGTTTTTTTTTAGTTTAATGAGCTCTTAAAGTTATACCTAAATCAAATTATAACATTTTATTTATTGTAAATATTTTTTAAAAAAAATGTAAATAAACAGTTTACTTGAATAACTATTTAAATGTAAAATATTTAGATATGTCCTTGTGGGTGACTTGGATTAGAGCTTACGTTGATAAAGGGGGACATTTGGGAGTTCAAATTGTAAGACTGTATAAAGGGAGGAACGAAATAGACATTATTTTAGTAGGTTGGGTGGTAGATCGAATGATGAACTACTTAAATGGTTTGTGACGTTGTACAGGCGAAATTCTTAAATATTTATATAGGAAACCTTCTCCAAAATTTGTATAACGTGGGAGATCGGTGATTGATTTATTCTTGCAGGGACTCTTTGTAGTATTTTTTATTGTATTGTTTTTGGATATAATATATACATTTTATTAAAAAATATTAAATATATGTAATGTTTAATTATAAAATAATTTAAAAAACATTTAAATAAATCAGTAAAATTCATTCATTCACACACACACATATATATATATGTTCTGTGCTGAAAATGAAGAGGAAATGTATTGTATTGTTTTTGTTACCAAAGACAAGTGCAGGCGTAGCGGTCCCAGGGAAAAGCGTTTGGGATTGCGATTGGTTTTTGAAGAGGGTGCAGTGCGTTTGCTTTGAAACCTGGACATAGGATCAGGGCCTCTCATAGTGATTCTTCACTTTTCTAGGAGTTTGCTTTTTGCTGTTTATTACTATCCAACCAGCATCCAATACCCCACTATTTTAATGCAAACGGAAAACAAAACCTCGTTTTAGTATAAGTTTACATTTTTTAAAAAACAAAAATGTTAATTTATATTCATTTTTTATATTAATGACATATTTATATCCTCATGGTATATATTTCAAATATTGTTCATTTTTAACTCATGAAAAATAGTTAGTAATAAATATTACCAATGATAATAAACAATTCAAATTAATTACTAGACAATAAGGTAAATGATCTTTTTTTTTGTCAAACCATAATCTAATCATAATCCTATTTAGAGGGAAAGGGGAAAAGAATAAAGATTATAGGAGAAGCCGAGAAGGATGGAGAGTGCTTCTAATGGATCTATAACCTATAATCTAAGAGAATATGAGAGAATAAAGACGAACAACTTGTTCAACTTAATAAATATATTTACTCATAAATAATTATCTTCTAAATGTTATTGTGTGATATAATTAAATAGAAATAAATGAGTTTTGAATAGTTATTTTCAAATAATTCAAGAGTCTACAGTTTTTCCTATAAAGAAGCAAGCTTGTCTTAAGATGGAAAAAATAACATTTCGCTTGCTAAAACCTAAAAACAAACCTACCATTTTTATTGTAAAAATATTTACATGGTAAATTTTAAAATAAATAAAAATATATATACTTATTCTTTTTATCCACTCTAAACTTGACCAAAAAATTAAATTCTTCTGACCACACCTGACTTGACTCCGGTTCACGAGTATATATACACACACTCTTTATTTTTATTAGGTAAATTTAGGATTCAATTAAAAAAAATAAAATAGAAAAGGATGATATTGTAATTATATCTAGATATGTAAGAGATAATTATAATATTATATTAGTTAAGGTTAAGAGAAATTTTTTCCACATTAAACTCAAACTCGACCTGATCTCATCCTTATAAATGATCTAACTTGACTTGATCTTAAGTTTTTAAAATAAAAATCCGAACTAATAAAATTATATCAAAACTCGACGAATCTAGATAAAATAATCATATCTACACTTACCCTTGAGATTTGGTGAAATATTCATTTACTTTCTTATAATTTCAAAAAATATCGACTTATCCCGTAGAGTTTAATGAAAATACCTATCCACCCCTAGAATCAAATACAAAAATAATTATATTTGGACTGTTATCTATCTTTTTATTTTTTTTATTATACTTTGATAATTATATAAGAGAAAAAAATAAAAAAATACATATAAAATTATTAATATTTTTCACACACAAAAAATTACCTGAAAAATAGATATTAAAAAATACAATAAAATTCATGATAAAATCTAATGAAGAAAATAACAAAAAGAGATAAAGGGGGGGAATTAACCATCAACAGCTAGTCAATAAATAAGTAATGTAGTTATTAACGAAAATTACATTAATTTTAATATATATATATATATAATTGTAAAAATATAATAACCCTAATTAAATAAAACAAAAATTAATTCTAGCAATAATAAAGTTATACTACTAAAGTTTTTAATTTTTTTGTCTGATCCCCGGCGAAGCTAGCTGTTATACTCGGAAATATGTGATTTTTTAATCGATGAATCATAAACATCTAAGATTTTCTTGGTGGTCCAAGCCAGAACAAAACCCTAGCTAATAAAATGTAATTTGATTTAGTTTGGTATAGTTTCATTTGAATGATTGAAAATGGAATTGAGACAACAGTTGCTCCACGTTCTTGCATGACAGTCTCCTCCCCTATAAGAGAACAAATTCAACTGGGATTCTCTGACCATTACTATACAATTCTATTGTCTTCCCACCATTGTTATCTTAGCATGTGAAGCAAACCCCTGTAATATAAGCAATTTTTTAAAAAATTTAATTTAAATAAAATTAAGAGATTATAATAGAATATGTAGTAGCAGTTGTTATAAATTTATAATTAGTTAAAAACAGGGGGGGCTACCCTAGCTGGAAGCTGACGAATGCGTGGTGCGTTAAAATAATGCGAAAGAATCAGATGTTGGTGTTGAGTTAGGTGCACGCCAGACACTTGCCCAACCCCTCTTACACCGCTTGACGTCACTGTCTACGGCAACCCTCACCGGTTGCATCCACCGCATCTCACCTATCTTCACCTCTTTACTTTACCAGCCATCTCTGTATTTTATTAATTATATTTATAATGTCCACTATCTTCAATAATTTGAATTATTAAAAGATAGTATACGTTTGTAACTTTCTTAATTTATTAACAACCTACTCTACTAACAACCTACTCTACTAACGTAAATACTCAAATATATAATCATTAGGAATTATCATTCAGGTCACTTAATGATTTTATTAATTTTAGTTTAATTAAAATCATTGTTGTTATAGTATATCGAAGATATAGATTCAAGGATACTGAAGTACACATTATTCTTTGATTGAAGAGTGGAGTTTGGATAGTTTTGATAAGGGTGAGTAAAATTCGTTCAACTCGAAGATTTGATTTTTTTCTTCAAATTTTAAGTTATTAGAGTTGAATTGTTTGAGTCAACTCGAATTATCAATTTATTTTTTGAGTTTGAGTCGAATTGAAATTTTGAAATTTCAAGTTACTTGAAAAACTGAAAATTTGACTACGTATTTTGACATTTTTAAGTCCATGATTTCATTATTCCTTCCATTCATTTTAAGTTTATTTTTAACCAAATTTGAACCACATGCTCCTAAATCATCGTAGAATAGATATGTCATTTCAATTCCACTTTTAGATAACAAGTTTTCTATTTGTCAATCCAATCCCTCAATTTTTCATATTTTCCTTATTCAATTCATCCTTTATTTTAAGTTTATTTTTACCAAATTTGAACAACATGCTTATATACAACTATAGAATACTTACGTAACTTCAATTCTTATTTTTTACTAAAAATGTACTCTCCTTTTTATTTAGACCCTTAATGCTACATTTTACTCAATTTGATCTTTTAACTGTAATTATTTACAATTTTTTTCATCTCATCAATTCCTTAATTTTTTTTTACTCTCGTCAATATTTTACACTCAAAATAAAGAAAAATATAATATTGTGAATATACTTTATAATTTTAGATTGTATTTAATATATTAAATAACATTATAATGTGAAAGAATAATATATATATATATATATATTATGTGGTTAGAGAAAGTCGAAAAATTAGAACAATCCTTACCATAATATTATAAATGATTATAATAAAATTATCATTGAAACTTGAATAACTCAACTTAAATTTCTTAAACTCGACTCAAATTGAAAAAATTTAAGTTAAGTTTGAATTGTAAAATACGACTCGTCAACTTAAATAACTCAAAATTTTTTTACGACTTAACTGACTCGATCGAATCCTCACCCTTAACTTCGATAGGGCTCTTGTATAAAAATATAAATACTTCACACTCGATACATCATCATTGTTTAAGTTATAACAATACAAGGGTAAATTAAACCAGTAATCACGAGATATTTAGGACACTTTTACTTTAGTCACCGAAAATCAAACAAATTTTATTAAAGTCATTGTCGTTAAGAAAATATTTTATTTCAACCATTGGACCGTTAAAGTTTTAGCAACAACTGACGTGGCATGTTAAAATATCCTTAAAACATGAAATCTGATCTCCTCCCATCCTTCTCTTTGTATTCGTTTAGTGGTTTCACCAAACTACTATTTTTATTATTATTATTTTTCTTTCATCTTCTTCAAACTCTCATCTTCTTCAAACTCGTCAAAAAAAACCTTTAGATATATTGAATTTACAATCGAAACTAAAAATTAAAACTTATAGATATGCTATCGTTAAGCATTGGATCAATTTGAAACTAAACTATACTATTTTTTTAGACAAGTAAAACATTCTTATTGTTTTTGAACAATGACAACTGAATTTCATTAATTAAAAATGGAATAATCAAAATTACAACGTATCTAAAGAGAAAATTGGAGACAATGGTTACTAAAAACTCGTACATAAAATAAAAATATTAAACCCAAAGATATGAATAGAATGAAACCTTCCAAACATCAAAACAGTCCAGTAACCTTCATAAAACTCATTGTCTCTGTCGAACGAGATGCTTTACTATGTGATAAAAGAGTGGTGAGCGAACCAAACAATTTGACAGACTTCTTTGCTACACAATTCTGATTATAATGGTAAAAAACCATTTACAAAAGAGAGGATCTGACAATACTTTCCCACCGACAAGTCAATCAGAAAATAAATGTCGTGAGGATCTTTGTGGAAACACCAGCACGATAACAGAAGTATGCGAAAAACTTACTGAAAACCATAAAGAACATGCCACAATAACAGAGAAAAAGCATTCCACAAGAACAGATAAAAATGTGTCACAATAATAAAGATTCTTATTTAAAAATGAACAAAAAGTCAAGGAAAAAAAAAACAAAAACATAATATAAAAATGAACAAGAAAAATAATAATCATTGACGTTCGGCAACCAATATTAAAATTTATGCGGCCATCGACTAAATAAAAAATAAAGGAAGAAAAGAAGATGACACAAGAATATTGAAAGAAAAAAATTAAGTTCAATAAGACGGCTATAGCTCTAAATACCTTCTTATTGTTATGATTGATCAAAGACGTCATGTTCATCTAAAACTTAGCTTTTGTGGTGATCGTAGATTTGAAATATTAGAATTTTTTTAGAATAAGAATTTAATATGTCATGTCATGTAATTTTAACGGCATCGGTCATATTAAAAAAATTAAAAGTTCAACAATTATAATATACTTTATAAAACATTACAATAAATTTATCAGTTTGTGATAAAAATTTTGTATGATGTTGTGTATAACGTCCTAATTAAAACATATTATAAACATGACGATTTTCTATTTTCATCATTTTTACTGATTAATGATGTTCATTTTATGATTTTTTTTAAAAGTCATTAAATTATATATATACTTGCGCTAAATTAAAATAAAAACACAAAAATAGAGGAACTGGCTAAAATCAATGAATTGGAGTTGCACGTATAACTTAGAATGAAAGTGAAGAAGGACCGGTCAAAGTAAACATTATGAAATGCCTTTCGAGTGACTATGTAAGATTTGCATTCATTAAATACATAAAGAAATATACCAATGGGACGAGCTTCTTAAAATATAATAATCAATTCTTATCACCAACTTGCATTGTTTGATCAAATGCTAATTTTTTAAATATATGTTTTTAATTTTAAAAATTAATTATTTTTAAATGTTTTGGTTTAGTTAGATTTAGAAATATATAATAATTTTTTATTAAATTGGAATAAAGATAATGTAATATTTGTTCTAAAATGATTATTAATAATTTAATATTAAATATTCATACTTTTAATTTTCATGATGCTCGAACCGAAACCTCATGAATTTGATGATCAAAACCCTATCAGAATGAGACTGGTAAATAAATTAAAAGTGTGTTGGAAAATGTACCAACAACTAGTTGGTTTAATGAGATGAGACACAAGACCCCTTAAGCAAGGTCGGAAGTTTGAATCCTGACGTTTGCGAATGAAGCATACTGGATTGGGAGGATCGTCCTCGTCTCTTCAATACATTAATTAAAAAAATGTGTATTGAAAACTGCAAAAAAATTTAATATTATGGTGTGGGATTAAATTAATGTTATGGATAATTAAGCTATTGGATTGTGTGTCATTTCCCATGTGACATAAATGACTTTGCTTCCGACGACGATAAGTCATTAAAATATAGTTTTATTTTGTTCCTTTGCATTAATCCCTTACCCTTTAAGTGATTTCCAAGTTGAAATAAAGAAAATCAACCCATCATTCTTATCTCTTCTTTTATTATAGCAACATACGATATATATTTTTTAATTTATTAATTACCAATATAAAGTAAGTTTTTTAATTAACAGATAATTATGCATCGTAGGTTGGTATTTTATTTATTTATTTATTATGTAAGATTGTCAGTAATTAATTGGTCTATTAGAATAATGTATTAATTTTTTTAAATAAGAATAAAAATTTGAATTTTAACATTGTAAATGAAATAAATTGGATTAAAATAATTATTCTCTTAATTGGATTTTGTAGTATTCGATTCAGATTAATTGATCACTATATTAAATATTGATGATTAAATAAAAAATATTATGAGTAATGAAAAGTAATTATCAAAATGGAAATTTATTTATTTAAGTATAATGTTGTTCTTCGTTCTTAGTGTTTGGTGGAACAACTATTTTAATTTTTGTTTTTCTAAAGTATTTTAGTATTTAACATTTATTTTTTAAAATTATTATTTTTCAGATGGACACTATTAATTAACAACAGTAGCTATTATTTTAACATTTATGAATGTATTACGTTAACAATAGCTGTTGATAGTTAATAGTTTATAAACGAAAATTAAAATATTTTATAAATGAATTTTTTAATAAATATTAAATATAGATTTCAATATTATAACACTTATTAATAGGGAAAGTGATAAGTAAAGAACAAAGTGAGGACAGACAAAAATTATAGTTGTTGGGCCAATGGAGTACTAATAACATTTGGATATGGGTAACAGTCCAACTATTCGGTAATATTTTCCAAATGCAAATAGACATGCCTACTTGGTCACCTCGCTTTAGCGGTGTCTCACTTGGGTGATATTAGGTTTAATGATTAAAAAATATAGTCAAATATTATAAAAAAATCGATTAAAATATTTTGATTATTATAACATTATGTAATGACATGAACTAAATGATCTTAGTAGTTAAAAGAATAATTATTATTTTATCTCTAGAGATATTAGACTCGAGCATGACATCTTTAGAGATATTTAAATATTTATTGTCAAATAATTATTTTTTTAATAAACTATTTTATAATTACTCTGGATTAATAAAAAATAAAAGGCATTATTTAGTATAAGTGACAATAGAAATTTACACGCCGAATGGTTTTAAACGTGATTGAAAGCAATATTGTATGATTGGAAATAGGAGTGAGCATTCGATCGAGTCGAGTAAAAAAAGTTTGAGTTATCTGATTTGACGAGTCCTATTTTATAACTTGGAGTTGACTTGAAACTTTTTTTAGTTGAGTCGAGTTGAGTGGAGTCAAATTTTCGAGTTCCTATTTAAATTTAATTATAAATATTTATAATATTATGACATTATTTGATTTCAATTTAAATGATATTTTATAAACATATACAATACATATTTATTTTTTCGTATTTTTTTCATATATGATTCATATATACCATACAAAGTCAAGGGACTCGACTCAAACTTGAAAATCAAACTAATAATTACTATAAATTTTGAGTTATTCGAGTTGTAAAATACAACTCGATTTGAACTTAATTTTTTTTATTCAATTATATGATTCATATACTAGTAATCACTTCATACTATAAAAAAAATTGATCTAAATTTAATTTTAAATTATTTTATAATATAAAACAAATATTGAGTATTTAAAAATAATAAAATAATAAAAAAATATTATATATAGAATATTAATTATTTTATTTAGTTTAAAAATATTTATTTTTTGACATTTTCATTAAATAATGTTTCAAATTAAAAAAAATACTTATTAAAATAAAATATAAAATCTCAATAAAAAATAAAAAACCAAAATTAGTCAATCTGAAAAGCGATGAAATACTGAAAAAAAAAATTAAAAATTCAAATCAATGGGGACCTAAACAGTATTTATTGGCAGGGTCCTCCTGCTGTAGGCCGGCCGTAAGTTAAAGCGTGTACAAGGGAAAGAACCTTCTAACCTAATTAAACAGAACAGATTCTTTATCTTAAAAAAGAAAAGAAATGGAGAACAGATTAGTGCAACTTTCGCTGAAATGCTCCTAATAAAAGGAAGAGAACCCCTAACAGGCTAACCAAGCTTACCCAAACAAATCCCCCCCCTTGAGCGACGAAACTCGGACAATACACTCCGAGTGATGCTGCGTCTTCATTCACATAATCAACACCTCCATCTCCTCCTCCACAAGCTCACTGCCTTTCCCATGCCCTCCAAACGCTTCCTCGCTTCCTACTCTCCCTTTCTCCCTCTGCTGCCTCCTAAAAACTTCCACACACCCTCTAAACGCTTCCTTCCCCCTCTTTCCCCAAAACCCATCCCCCAAACCCTTTCTTTCTCCCTTAGAACTAATGGGTTTTATTCTCATCCTTCTCCCTCTCCAGGTATTTATTTTCTGTAAAAATAGAGAAAAAGGGTTGTTTCTAAGTTGTTTTTTTTTGTATTGAAATACTAAGAGAAGAGTCATTTACGTGTTTAATCGTGCAGACACTTAGATAGGAGTCTGCAAATGTACATAATGGAAGGTTTACCAGAATTCCTTTTTTTATCTCTAAGCTCATTCTCAAGACTTGGATAACCATCCCTCGGATAAGCGTTACTTGCAGATTTTGGAGCATAAGCTCAAGCAGCTTGGCATCAATATAACTAAGTGTGTTGATGGGCATGAAAACCGCTTAATATGTCCCTCGGTATTTTTCTTTCTACGAAACTGTTAGCTTTATTGCATTTCAACATAAGTTCGATTGATTTCTGTCAATCTTATTGGAGCAGTTGCTATTAGAATGTGCCATGTCTTGGCGGTTATGATAAAAATTATAGGTCAGAGATAACAGACTTACTCTAGACATTAAAACTAGAGAGGAGTTTTCGATTTTCAAAATCTTGGAACCTTTCAATCATTCTTTATCCTCACTAGCTCTGCTTTATTTCCACTCTTTCTCTAAGTTTATATTCTTGTATAATAGTGCAATGGCGGTGACTCAAAGGAGATTAGCTTATCCCTTTTCATCTCCCAAAATGGGTATGCTGCATCCTTTTCTTTTTTGTTTAACTACATTTTTTTATTATGAAGGGTCAGCAAACCATTGTTGATAGATCTAATTTATAGGTATTCAGCTTCCTGGATGTGTTTTCGAGCAAAATGTGGGTGGAAAGGCCACACGAAAGTAATCTGTTTCTCCTTTTAAATTGGTGCGGGAAATTTTTTACGTCCATGTGAAAGTCATTGGATATAGGCTTCCCTTGGTTGTCCATTTGTTTTAGGCCTTTGCAGATGGCAAATCAACATTTGAAAGTTCCCGTCGAGTTAACAAAGCTAAGGTTGAAAGGGATATCACAGTGGAGAGTTTGCAATTAGAACCACTCTGTAATCAGGTTTCTAGATTTCTCCTTTTTCTATTTTTGCTCACTAAGGTTTATATTGATTTAGATGTCTAAACTTATTTGCTCCATCTTATATGCAGCTGTCTGGTAGGTTTTCCATTCAACTTGTATGCCTGTATATTCTTTAGTGCTGAGTAAATAGATATTTATTCATATAACTCCTTTGTCAATTGAAAAATTCCAATGGTTTGATGTTCCTGAAGTAACTTATATATTTTTTATTTTCTATTTCCTGGTAGCCGTAATCCCAAGCAGAATTTCAAGAGGAAATAGAATCCAATTGCTTTTGCCCCATTATCGTTCATATTCCAAGCATGATTTTTTACTTTTTTCAGTACTGATTGAACATAAATTTTGCAAATTGGCTTGCAAATTCTATGTTTCTTTTCTTCAAACCCTCTCTCTTTTGGAATGTAGCGAGCTAGGCCTCAGAACCTTCATTCTCTCCATCAGTGATCATAAAAGCTGAATGTTTCTCAACCTTGTTTAAATTCATAAATGAAATGCTAAATGTTGATATACATTGTGTGAATTCCAAATGCTAATGTTGTTCTGTTGCATTGGAAGATGGTTTTCTAGTTATTTAATTATTGTAGTTTTTTATCTATAATTTCCTTCTGGTTTAAGTTTCAATTCAGTGGATTGTGATTCCTTAGTTAATACTTTTTTGCTCTTGCTTCAGCTCATTGCATATTTTGCAGAGCGAATGATATCTGCAGAAACGCTAAAGAGAAATGGCATAATGCAAAAAATGACGGGTGATGAGGTAATTGTGAATCCTTTTTCTTAAGTTATAGGCTTAAGATGCTGACTACATAGATTAGGTCTTAATTTGTAGCTGTCAACGCACGTTTGTGGTAAATTCGGTGCTGAAGTTGTTTTTTCTATACTTTTATTGGATATTCTATGATTGTCCTGCATTTGATATTTTTGAACCTAAGTCCATATCTTCTTGGCTTTCAAAATGAACAAAAGCGAAAGTAGAATCCTTATATCTAGGCCTCCTGTTGACTAGAGGGATGAAGACCTTAACAACATTACCATGATGCTTGAATAATTCCCACCAAGCTCTTCTTGAAACACGCCTGCTAAGATTATCAATGGAAACAACCCATTTTGATTCGGTGGAAAATGAAGAGGATTTTGGACTTTTTGCCTCCGTGGGGAGCGAAATGACTAGACATTTTTGTGAAGACCGGATACGAAAGCTTGATTATATTAAGAGTGCACGAGTATTTGTGATGCTTACTAGTTCTTATACATCTAAAAACTAGGATTCCCTTTTGGAGACTAACCTGTACATAATAAATAACCAACTTGAACTCCTAGAAGCTCCTCGCTCAATCTAAATACAAACTTAATCCCATGATGCGTAATTTGCAGAAATTATGTTTCTTCCCCCATATGGATTAAGTTGGAATTACCAAGTTAAGCCTAAAACATAAAGTTCCTTCTTGGCAGCTACTGAAGTATTTGGAATGTTGGCTGGTTTATCTTACCTTATTAGTTGTTCAAGATGGCAGACATTTTTGGAAGGGTGTATTTATTTTACTCTAAAATAACTGATCTTTCTTATTAATATAGTTAAAGTTTAAAAACTTCGGTTTGGCCCCACCGAGAGTCGAAACTTTCCTATGGCAGGTTTCCCATCGAAGACTGGCAGTCAGATCGGAGCCGATAAAAAGGGGTGTTATGTTGGAGGAGGTGTCTTGCCCGTTATGTGCTAAGCAAGAGGAAACAGTTCAGCATTTGTTTATCTCGTGTCAGGTTGCATGGGATTTATAGAGCAGTTTCTGGAGGTTATGGGGAGTCTCGGCAGTTTTACCTAATGATCCAGCCTCTTTGTTGTGTTCCTGGTCGGATTTAAGGCCAAAGTCATTAATATGGGCCTTTATACCGGGGGTAGTTCTTTGGTCATTATGGAAGGCTAGAAATTCGGTGGTTTTTGATGATGGGAAACTGGACAAACCTAATCTTTTCTTCATTTGCAGATTTAGGTTGGTTAAGTGGTTCCTTGCTAAATACCCAAATGATTTCATTCAGGTTGATTCTCTTGTTGGAGACCCGTCGCTTGCAGACAAGCACCAGACAAGGCACCATAAAAGGGTGAAGGTTCAGGAATGGTTTCCTCCTCCACTACATTTTTTTAAGGTTAATGTTGATGGGGCGGTTAGTGGGGACGGCCTGTTGGGGGGAATGGGGGGTATTTTAAGGGACTCGGAAAGCAAAATCCTTGGGTCTTTCTCACTTGCTGTTGGTCCATGTCCTCCTCCACTAGCTGAGATGAAAGCAATAGAGAAAGGCATTGAATTTTTTCTATCGTCGGAATGGGCGACTCAAGGAAGGTTAATTATTGAGAGTGATTGTAAGACAGTGGTGGATTGGATCTTACAACCGATTTCTTCTCCTCCTTTCCTTAGGTTACTGGTTCTAAAAATTGCGTCCTTAATCTCGGAGAGGGCGATCATTATTAGACATATTCCGAGGAATTGTAATTGTGAGGCTGATACCTTAGCGAAACAGGGGATTGGCTGATCACACATCATAGTTTTAGAGGTCATTCAGTGGGTTTTGGGTTTTGGTTGTAGGGGATGTGGTAGTTTCGCTATTGTATAGGGGCGGACTGGTTGTGATAATTGGTCTGTATTTTTTATGGTGTTTAGTCAGTCTGTGGGGTGTTTCTTATGTACTATGTTCTCTTGAGAAATAAAATCTTAAGGCACTCTTTTCCTCCCTTCACTGATTAAGGAACTTTCTCAAAAGTTCATTTAGTCAAGAAGAGGGTTTTTAATGAGGCCTGTAATTCTTATCAAAAAAAAAAAAAACTTCAAGGTTGATGTTCTGTTTTTTGTTTATGAATGTAATCAATACACATCACAGCTGATTAATCTAAGAATTTCGTTGACAGATTGCTATTGCATTCCCTTATTGGCGTAAAGGGAACCTTGTAAATTGCAAGTATCGGGATATAGTCAAGAGGTTTTGGCAGGTTCTTGTGAAATTCTTTCCCATGTTTACATTGTTAATTTAGTATGTTGACTCGGGCTTTACATTTAATATCTCCTTAGACATTTATGTTCATCCTCCTATGATATGCTCTTGGAGGCCGGAACTGTCACTTTTTGAGCACACTTTTTTTGTGGCCTTTATTTTAAAAATAAAATTTAATAGTATTTGATTAAAATCTTATTTCACTCTTCTTCCATTGCAGGAAAAGGATGCCGAAAAGATACTTTATGGGCTGGATGATATAGAGAATACAAGCGATATCATTATTGTATATCTTTGTCTCTCTTTTGAAGATTTATTCCAGTTCTACATTTGGTTGATGCTTATATTTTCCAGCTTGTTATTATAGGTTGAAGGTGAAATGGACAAGCTTGCAATGGAGGAAGCTGGCTTCCGTAATTGTGTCAGTGTCCCTGATGGGGCACCACCATCAGTTTCTGAAAAGGAGGTTCCAGCTGAGGAGCAGGTTTTAGTTGAACTAAAATTTAATACTATATGTTTTTTAGCTTTTCCGAATGGCAATATTAAAAAATGTTGTCAGCCATCAAATGCTACGTAGATATCCAACTTCAATGTTTCAACTATGAAATAGAGATGATTCTCTCCAATGTAGATCCTTTTATCTCTATCTCTCATGCATGCATATCGTATGAGCAAATTTCCATTGAGAAATATGGGGAGGCTTAATCAGTTAGGTATTAATCAGAATCATTTGCTTTTTGACTCATGAGGTTTGTCGAATGTGCATGTTTTGCTTGGACTTCCTGCTTGCTTCTCTTAAGTTAGTAGTATGTGATAGAATAATTTTTACATATTACTTGTTATGATCTGCTTATGGATAGGGCGGTTTATAAAGCAAGCAGTAATTTATTCATTTTGGCCACATTATCTGCTTAATTTAGCCTCTTATAAGGTGGTTTGTGGAACCAACAACTTCTCACTTCGTTTAAGTTGAGAAGAATGGAATGAGGAAATGACAGCAGCCATTTTGGACAATGTAGTATAACATTATTCTTGTCACCGATATGCGAGTATAAACGTCGTTCTAATGTTTCATTCACTTGTTTTGAAAGCTAGGACACAAAGTATCGATATCTGTGGAACTGCAAAGAGTACCTAAAAGAGGTTTGCTGGGGTTTATTTCTTGGGTCCTCTTTATAATGCCATTTTGAAATGAACATGACTCTAGTTTTTAATCTATGTATGCTATAGGCATCATGCATCATACTTGCCACTGATGGGGATCCACCTGGTCAAGCCTTAGCTGAAGAGCTTGCACGTCGGCTTGGAAGAGAAAGGTTTATATGATTTTCTGTAATGCTGAAGCTATTCGAAACTTATCCTGCTTTCTTTTTCTCTATTATTGTTGCTGTCTGCATATTTTAAGATGAGTAAAATTTGCTTTCTGTGGGTGGCAGATGCTGGAGAGTTAAATGGCCAAAGAAAAATGACGCGGATCATTTTAAAGATGCAAATGAGGTCATATAGCTATATCTTTTTACCTGTGCCTGTAATGACCTGAATCTCATTTCTCGACTAATTTTAAAATAAAATTTTATTCTCGATCTAATGTCAGACTCATAATAAACTGAAGATTATTTGATATTAAAAGGTTATGAATGTGCTCGACAAGAGTCTATCCCCCCTTCATTCCTACTTCGGGGTTTCCTTATTTTATTGGTATGAAAGATTAATGCAAACTGTTCATTTGCGTTTGTGGCTTCTGCAAATTTTACCATGGTGTAGAACAGCAAGAGGCTAGATTGTGGCTATTGTTGTAGAAACTAGGTGTTTGAATCAGATTCTCAATGGTGAGTAATCTGTTTTTCTTTTCAATGCTTTTTATTGGTAAAAATGGTGCCTATTTATAGATTACAAAGAGAATCTAATCTAGGAAACTATACACAAAATCAGCAAATCAGCATCTACATTATGGTAAAATCCCTAAATATTAGCAGCTATAAATTAGGGAATTATATTCCCAAACTCCTGCAATCTGTTCCAATTTAGTGCCTACAACTTGCAATTTTATGTCCTAGTTCTTTAAGAAAATTTGGAAAACTGTATGAACAAAAATAAAATAACCACCAAGCCTTTTCAAGCAGCCAAATCTTCCTCTAATTGAAAAGCGGCAAATTGAGATTTTAACATGTGAAACAACCATAGCGGCATGCCTCCTAAACACCTTTTAGGCTGCTACCAAGCTGCAGATAAAATTTTGTTCCAAATTAGATGTCTCACTGACCAACTCTTGTGACCACAGGTACTAATGTATTTGGGACCCAGTGCTCTTAAGGAAGTAATTGATAATGCCGAATTATATCCCATACGTGGACTATTCAACTTTAGAGATTTCTTTGATGAAATTGACCACTATTATCATCGGACTCTTGGATATGAATTTGGTGTCTCAACGGGTTGGAGGGCGCTGGACAGCCTATATAACGTAAGCTTGATGTGTTCTTACCCTATATTGCCTATTAACTAGTAGTAGAGATGATATATCATCCCTCACAAGTTTTCTTTTTTCTCTACCAGGTTGTTCCAGGAGAGCTGACAATAGTAACCGGTGTTCCCAACTCTGGGAAGAGTGAATGGATTGATTCTCTCTTATGTAATCTTAGTGGAAATGTTGGTTGGAAATTTGCTCTTTGCTCCATGGAGAACAAGGTCAGCCAGAAATTTTCTTATATTCATCCACATTTAGTCTCACTGTTCTTGATTACCGACATATACATGCAGCTGTGTTAGAGAATTGCCTCTTTTACCTAGGATGAAATGGCCTTGAAACTAAGGAAGAGATTCATTTAGGTTTTGAAATTCTTGATATATTTTTGTTCTATTGTTGGATAAGTATACAAGCATGACCATTCCTGCTTTCTTTTGGGTTACTTTGAAGAATTATATTTCTTTACAATTAACCTTTTTAAAGCATAAATGTACATTTTCAAATTTCACATCTTAATCAGCTCTTTCTTTTGCAAAGTGTCTTTTGATTATTCTAGAAACGAAGTCCACTTCTGCGACAGTAAAGTCCATCAACCAAGTCAGTCAAAGGCATACCAGACTTTCTAGAGATAGATTAATCCTTTTTCCCATGAATGATGTTTAATGGAATGTGAATTCTTCTAACATGAGTGCATTTCCATCTAGATAAACATAATAGATAATCACTATAATAGTATTATTGTTTTTTTTGATAGGAATTATTGTTTTTTTTGATAGGAATAATAGTATTATTGTTATTTTTAATCATGCTATTGCACATCCTTTTGACTAACATTAATCTCACAATTTCCCCCTTATTTTTCTTTTATCAAGGTTCGGGATCATGGAAGGAAACTAATAGAGAAATATGTAAAGAAACCGTTCTTCGATACAGGGTAAGTTTAGCTTGATTTGAGTTTCTATTATTACTCTTCTAGCATCATTAGATCTAGCAAAAAAAAAATTATACCTTGAAATTATATGCAAACTTTTAAAAGCTTTTAGGTTGCAAGGGGATGTTTAAAAATTTTATTTCACTTGGATCTCATAATTGGCTATCTACAGAACATGTAAGAAAAAAAAGAAGAATTTTGAACTAATCATTTTACTCGTGTTTTTGGTCTGATGTGAGCAATTGTAAGATAGCCTTGTTTTGGAATATGTTAAAGTAACAAATTCAAAATAAGAATGATGATTGTTTATTTCATTTTAGACAAAGTTTTGATTTAGAACAAGCATTATGAAAACAATTCCCTCAAGAAATAATTAGAATTCTCAATCAAAATTCTTTAAAATCCAATAATTCAAATCTTAAATATTTGAAGTCGATAACTCAATATTTGATAAATCAAACATGCTCAAAACTGTAATAACATAGATGCTTATAACCAAACGCAAAATCTTAAATGAAACATGAAACACCAAATATAACTTATGTTGCACAAGTAAGCTACAATTGAAATATTCAGAAACCTCAGGTATTTAATCATCCAAGTCTGCCCAAAATGCCGTAAATTCTCTTTAACTTGATTCTTCAATTAGCATATCATTCTCCAAGAGACGATTTGGGAAACTAATGAATTCCTGGAAATAAAGCCTACTTTTATATGTTTGCAACTGTGGTTTCTTTGAACTATCTTGTTTAATATAATAATCACCAATTGGTTTGTTTGTTACTTTTGCTGGCAATAGCTATGGGAGCAATGCCGATAGAATGAGTGTTCAGGAACTAGAAGAAGGGAAGAAATGGTTGAATGACACATTTTATCTCATAAGGTAAGTTGACACATCTATTGATACTATATGTGCTCATGCAGATTGAGACTTCTATTATTATTTTTCCAAATTGTTGCCTAGTTGCTGAAATATTTATTTTATAAGCCAATTTTGTGTGTGTTTGGTTTGGGAGGTGAATTTACAGTTCGGTATAGGCTTGGATGCTTTTAAAAATTGAGGCCTTGTATGCTCTTGTTGTTGTGCTTGCTTTCTTAAATTTAATACTGCTTTCTAGATTTATCTCATGGGTTCTGGAATAGGTGCGATAATGATGCTCTTCCGAATATAGAGTGGGTTCTTAATCTTGCAAGGGCAGCAGTACTAAGGCATGGTATTCGGGGGCTTGTAATTGATCCTTACAATGAACTTGATCATCAGCGCCACGCTAATCAGTGAGTACTTTTTCCACAATGCTCACCTTTGCCTTGTTTGTTTTGCCATTATATTGGCACCACTTCCATTTTATTTGATAGTATAGTTTGTCACTTTTCTTGGTGCCTTAATTTTGGTCCTTTGGATCATCCATGAAATACATGTATATAATTTAGATTTTTGTTTTTATGCCGATGGCTAACCTGCTTGATAGTTGGTAGTGTCACGGACATCCTCATTAATATTATCATCACAAAAATTTTAACTACCTGTGTTTTGCCTAAAATTATATACTTTGATAGAAGTATTCACAAAGCGTCCTGGTTCTATTCTAGTTGGTCTCATAAGTGGACAAGAAAAGCTTCATACAATTTCAAAATGCTCTTTACTATTTCCCATTCTGAGCGCTCAGTGCTGGCTGCCTAAACGTCCCGGTTATTAACATCTTATATCCATAACAGGACTGAAACAGAGTATGTAAGCCAGATGCTTACGAAGATCAAACGATTTGCTCAGCATCACTCTTGTCATGTCTGGTTTGTTGCACATCCAAGACAGGTTGGTCTTTCTGAGTTATCTTTTACTGCATGGTTTCTCTTTGTACTAATTTTATATTTGTCCATCAGTTGCACCGATGGACTGGGGCTCCTCCAAATCTCTACGACATCAGTGGAAGTGCACACTTTGTAAACAAATGTGACAATGGGATTGTTATTCATCGGAATCGGGACCCCGAGGTTGGACCTGTTGATCTAGTACAAGTGAGTATTGTCACAACTCACAACTGTAAGCAATCTTGTAGTTTCTATTGCTGAAATACGTTTTTGCAGGTCTGTGCGATGAAGGTACGAAACAAGGTTGTAGGAAATATATGTGATGCGTTCTTGTCTTATGATAGGTATGCGACATTACACCATATCCACACATCATTGCTACTTTGATTTATTGAGCATTCAGATCATTACAAAGGCACCTGATGAAGGAACCGTCACAATTTAGAGCTTGAATAGAAAACTATAGATAGTTCATTGTTGGAGGTTCTGGGAAAGTCAGATAACTTAACTTGATGTAAACAGAAAAGGGTTAAAAGTAGGTTAAATGATGCAGAGGTTAAATAGGAAACCACAGGTTGGACTAGTGAATGTCCAGTACTTGGCAACTTAGCCTTTTGGAGGTGATGCTCTACCACTAGCATACTCAAGGTTAATCTGAATAATCTCTAACATATTTGTGAATTTGAGAAACTATTAGGGACCGGCATCAGTGAAAATGAGAGTAAAGCCTTTAACCACTCTCATCTATGATGCCTCACTGAATCATCATATATAGTTCAAACATATGTTCCGTGATTGCTGAAAATAACATTAAATTGGGCTTGTAGGAAAAGAAATTAGCTGCTTGTAGCACTGGATCTTTAATTGTTTGTTTATGTGCTCATTATTGTCCTGCGGTTTTATTTAATGAAATATGGCAGGGTGACGGGCATATATAACGACTTTGACGAACGAAAAATGAAGTGAAAGGCCATGGTGTCGTTCAATTGGTAGCTGAAGTTTTGTACAGTATGACTATTGATTATGCATCGGGAGCCTTTCCTGATGTAGCGGGTACAGTTAAAATGATGCTTCCAAAGAGCCCAAGGCTTATCATATATTGCAATGGTGGTGTTGAATTTTATTTTTTATTTATCAATAGCATATGAAATACTGGGGATAATGTTTTCTTTTTTATCAATAGAATTCAGGAATTTGTCATGCTCGTCTCAATGCAACAGTAGATTGTTTGGTAATCTACCCAGTTTCTTGTATTAGTGTGTTTTTAATTCTCTTCTGTAATTAGTAGAGCTCATCAATGTCAACCATGAGATGATGATGATGACCCAGTTTATCTAAATTTTCATTGCCGTACTTCCCAATTTGAAAGCCTTCATTACAGGATCTTCAGTGCTATCAAATCGTTTATTCATATTGTACTTGTGCTTTTCAGGCTTACTGGTTGGTAAAAAAAAAAGCTCCTTTGGCAGTCTAAATGCTAAATCATTTGCAGTTTATTTCAGAAATAATGCTTCCCGTTATGCACTGTCGAAACTGTTCTTAGATCGACAATATATTCCCCCCCACTTGAAAATGTGTTTTGAAAATGAAGCTTAAGATTATTTTGGGTTTAATATAAAACAAATTTAACTATAATTTTTTTATTATTATTTGGGTGTTCAAATCGAAGTCAAATTAAAAAAAAAACAATAGTTAAAGTCATAAGCGGTTATACCTATTATTAGGGGTATACGAATTTGGATATTGAATTTGATCCGATCCGAAAATTCAGAAATCTAAAATTTCGGATAACTAAAATAATGATCCAAACTATGTCTAAAAAACCAGATATTTTAATTTTTGGATCGGATATCTGATTCGAACATGTTACTATTTTAAAAATAATAATTTTTATTCATTTTTCAACTTAAGTTGTTCCATAATTCATCACACCAACTTAAATAAGTAGTTTAAAAATATACTAAAAAAAGCAAAAACAAAAGCTTATGAACGAAAACATGTTCAGTTGGGGCAGATCTTCCTAATTAATAGATGAATAATATGGCGACGAATAAAAGTCATCCCCCGGTCAAACTCCTCCTAGTTTCATAACTCTTATTAATTGCTCAGTGGAGAGAGGAGATTAACCCCCAACATGCAATTATCCGGGGAACAAAAACTTCTAAAATTTATCCATTATTCTTACTTTCTGTGAAAAAATCATTTACTTGTGTAAGTTGTGTTAATGAATTGCAACATTATCATTCATATTTAAATGATAAGGAAATAAGAAGTTAAAAAAACACAGGCTGAATAGTTTTTGGCTTTACGACTAGTGGCATTGACATACATGGCTTTTCAGGCCAAACACGGCTGGACTTGGGGTTAAATGGCCATTTATTTTTTGGATTAACAGATAATTCAAAGTAAGATTTCTCAAATCCGTATCCAATCCAGTTATCCAAAATTTTTATTGGATATTCGATTTAAATTATTCAAAAAATAATTGGATAGTATATCCTAAAATTCAGATCGAATTATCAGATAAACAGATCAGATCGACACTTTTACACACCCCTGCTTGTTACCCAATTTTTTTTAAAGGTGTTCCTATAATACGGCATCACACCGCAACGAGAGTAGCCCAAACTAACATATAGAAGAAAGAAAGCATGCTTTATTTCTTTTAGTTCTCCTGGTTATAAAGCTTCGTCTTGACTAATCCGGACCGACCTGTGTCGTACACTTGACTTTGGTGGATGAGTCTCCGACTCGAACTTAAGACCTTACTTAAACGATATCAAACTGCTTACCACTGAAACCAACCGACCACATCCCTAATTAAGATGCTAATACGTGCTGCCCTGTCCCATACATTTATTAAACATGTTATCCATTTCACATTATACATATTTATATAATCCATTAGAAGATTCATAACATTATATAGTTTCCGTATCTATAATGGCTCACATTTTTTTACTATAATTCAATGAGAAAATTTTTATAATTTTATTGTATTTTTATAAAAGTATATTTTCATTGTCATTCTTTCACTTTTTCTAAAACCTATGATTAAAAATCAACATCATTGTTTTTTGTAAAGGAAGAAAAAATTTAAAGAAAAAAAAATTGTTAAAATTGAGGCGGCTAAGGTTACAAAAATATTCGGACCTTATCTTCTTATTAAAGGCAAAAATTAATATTTGGCACGTTCTATGTCCTAATATACATGAAAAAAAAAGCTAAAAGAAAAGAAGAACTCTTAAAAGTGAGGCTGCTAAGGCTACACAAAGTCAAAAGGTTGGATCTTACCTTCTTTTTGAAGTCAAAATTAATGTTGGGCATGTTCCAAGTGGTAAATAACTCATAATTCACGTGAAGAACACCCGTTGACCACCGTATGTGTGACCAAAAGAAATATTAGTTAATTGCATTCTTGTCCTATTAATTATGCACCGTGTAAGTTAAAGTTATTAATCCTGTTAATAAATTGATAGTTAATTCTTATTTTTAAATACAATATACGAATATGTATTGTATTCTTAATTATGTTAAAAAAATCTACTTATAATAAATAAGATTTCTTTTAATATAGATATATTATATTTATTAAAATTTTAATTTATTTTCATTGTGGTTATTATTATTTGTCATTAAAAATTACATAATTTTAAAAAAATATTCTTAAGTTTCTAAATTGTAAAATCAAGATTTTAATGAAGGAAATGATTCTTTATCAATTCTAATCATGAAAATATTTATTTAAATAAAAGATTAATATAATTTGATTTTGAGATGATCCAATAGTTGATAGTGACAGTTCATAATGTTGTAGCCTTTAGTTTAAATTGAAAAACCACATAACGATTATAAGACAATGAAAGGAGGAGTAATTGCCAATGTTTTTAAAAATATTTTTTAACATATCACATCAGCTATCATTAATAGTTTAATAATCGAGTGATTAAAATGTAAGTTTTTTCTAATGAAAGTTACTTCAATGAATGCCTTTTTATTTTAGTGACCAAAATGAAAGTACTCTAAAAATTAAGTGACTTTTAGTGTAGTTTACCTTTAACTAAATGGTTGTTGTTGCCTATTTTGGAAGGGATGAGCTAAGAGGTCTTTTCACCGTTTTTTTGTTTCATACCAAACCCCTTGATCTGCTGTTGGATGGAGAGACGATCTATCCACATCATGCCGTCGATCGACGATTGTAGCATATGATAGGTTATAGAACCTCAAAATTTGAGTCCCAAAAATTCTTTGAAATATTTCTCAATAATTCGATTATAATCAACTGTTCTTAAAAATATATATAGTGTTTAACAGACAAAAAAATCCTTATTTATGTTCATCCTAATTTTAATTTTCTTAAATTTTGGTATTTCACAATTTTATTTTATTATACAATATTTTTGAACCATCATTTTAAAAAGTAATACATGACTGACATATCTTTAGGATAAGCATGATCAATATATGACTTAAAATATAATTTTAAAATAGTTTGTTCATAATGATTAATAATTAAGATATCTCAAAATAAGATGAATCAACGTGTGGCTTAAAGTATAATTTTAAAATCATTTATTTATAATTATTAATAATTAAAAGATGTCAAAATAAGATGAGACGATAACACAAGTAATAAATTTAAAATAAATAGATGATATGGTACCTAAATAAATTCTATTTAATCACATGAGATACCTAAATAAATTTAAAATAAAACAAATTTAATAATAAAGTCAGATTACCTTGTATTATATATATAGATAGATGATGATATGGTATAACCTACACGAACATCGTTAGACCAAAATGAGAGGCATACCAATCATTGTTACAATCCTTTTGTTTTGGGAGATCAAAATCTAACCCCAACTCAGTTGATGATTTTCTGGAATGCCTCCCAAAGCATTTTCACAAGCCTTCTAAACCAATCTCCGATGCCATATACACTCCCTCAAACACTTCCTTTCAGTTTGTTTACGAGCTCCATACAAGTAATCTTCGAGCTCTAAGTCAGGCCAATGCGACCAGAAAACCCGTGGCGATCATAGCTGCTCTGCATGAATCTCATGTTCAAGAAACTGTTGTTTGTGCCCAGAAATCGGGATTACAGGTGAGGATTCGAAGCGGGGGACATGATTACGAAGGCCTCTCCTTCGTCTCATTCTCATCGGTCCCATTTGTCATCATTGATCTTTCTAATATTCGGTCTATAAACATCGACATGAAAACCGAGACCGCATGGGTTCAGGCCGGAGCGACCACCGGCGAACTATACTATCGAATTGCTGAGAAGAGTAAGGTACATGGTTTCCCAGCTGGCGTGTGCACTACTCTAGGCATTGGTGGTCATTTCACCGGAGGTGGCTACGGTAACCTGATGAGAAAATTCGGGTTGTCCATAGATAATGTGGTTGACGCTCAATTGATCGACGTTAAGGCTAGAATCCATAACCGAAAATCCATGGGAGAGGATGTATTTTGGGCCATCAGAGGCGGCGGCGGAACTAGCTTCGGTGTCATTCTCTCATGGAAGATCAAGCTGGTTCCAGTCCCTGCTAAAGTCACTGTTTTCCAAGTCCAAAGGACATTGGAAGAAGGCGCGACCGATCTTGCTCATAAATGGCTTCAAGTTGCCTATAAACTCGATAAAGATCTTTTCACCCGAATCACCTCAGTAGCCATTCCTGCAACAGGCAACACCAACAGCACAGTGCGAGTAATTTTCATCGTCCATTTTCTTGGGAAAACCGACCGGCTTCTTAAATTGCTGCACGCGAGCTTACCGGAATTAGGTTTACAACGGAAGGATTGCCTTGAAATGAGTTGGATTGAATCTACACTTTTCTGGTTTGGCTTCCCCAATGGAACATCCATCGACGTTTTGCTGAATAGAGTGCCAACCGGCAAAGTGTTCTCCAAAAGCAAGTCTGATTACATCAAAAACGTGTTCCCCAAGGAAGGTTTAACGACCCTGTGGAGGATGATGATGGAAATAGGGAGCTCGTGGATGCAAATGAACCCTTACGGTGGTCGAATGGCTGAGATTTCGGAATCCGAAACTGCATTCGCGCACAGAGCTGGAACCCTTTACAAGTTCCAGTACACCGCGTTCTGGTCGGAAGGGAGCAGTGAAGCCACCGAAAAGTACCTAGGGTTGATGACAAAATTATACGCCGAGATGGCTCCATACGTGTCGAGTAAGCCAAGGGAGGCGTTTCTTAATTATAGAGACCTTGACATTGGCAGCAATGGTACGGATTTTGAAGTGGCCAAAGTTTATGGGGCCAAGTATTTCAAGCGAAATTTTCAGAGATTGGCAGAGGTGAAGGCCAAGGTAGACCCTCATAATTTCTTCAACAACGAACAAAGTATTCCGCCATTTCCCTCATCTAAATCAAAATGATACGATCATGCAACCAAACAAATAAAGGTTCAAATAGAAACATCCCCATTATTGCATGCTCGGCCAACACTGGGCTTGTAGTTCTGTTTTAAATTGAAAATAAAAATCCGAGTGAAAAATAAAAACAAAATATATTACGAAATTAAGTCGTCTATTTATTCTGTTGGTTTATGGTGGATGTATTGTAAGAGTATTCTAAACCTTCAAAAGAACATATATGAGATAACATTTATTATTCATGCGAACAAATTATTGTCTTCGTGACCATCTTAAGTTAAAATACACACGTGATAAATACACGTATTATATGAAGAAATTATTGAATAGACCTTCACTATCACGTACAATATGATCCATATGATAAGTATCGTCTGATTAGAAGTTTCAACATGTTGAAGTTCATACACAAGAACTTGGAATTATCAAGAAGATACAAGAAATGTACCATTAACCAAGACTATGCAATACATTTATACACAAGCTTACTGCCTTAACAGTCTCATAACAGCTTCTAACTGCTCTAACTAACCTAACAAACTGCACATTAACTGCTTACTCACACACACACTCTAAGCCACATTGCACATACGCACATATGCACATAAGCATACAGTCATTCTTCAACATTCTCCCCGTCCTTCTAGCTGTTCCCTTCTCTGTGACCTGCACTTTCTGAGTAAACAACACATGTGCAGACTTAGCCAACGGTTTTGTCATCCCATCAGCGATTTGGTGTTCTGCTGGAACATAGTTAATTCGAACAGCTCCACACTCAACCTTCTCATGCACAAAATGAATATCAAACTCTATATGCTTCGATCATGCATGAAACACTGGATTAGCATTCATGGCAATAGCACTCGTATTATCACTCCACACAACTGGAACCGCATCAACTGCTTCACCCAAGTTTGCCTAAAGAGACCTAACCCAGATCACCTCAGCTATCGTATTAGCAATACTTCAATATTCAACTTCTGTTGTTGAACGAGCCACTGTCTTCTGTCTCTTCGCACTCCACGAAACCAAGTTGCAGCCAAGAAACACGCATGAACCAGACACTGACCTGCGATCATCAACGTTACTAGCCCAGTCAGCGTCAGCAAATGCAGTCACACAACAACCTTCAGACGCAGTCGACTGCCTGAACACCAAGCCACAGGCAACTGTGCCACGCAAGTAACGCAATATCCTTTTAACAGCAAGCCAATGACCATCACAAGGATAATGCATGTACTGAGCAACTCGATTAACACTAAAGGTAATATCCGGCCGTGTATGACTCAAGTAAAACAGTGAACCAACTGTGCTTTGATACATCCATACGTCTGAAAGAGTTTTCCAGCATCAGAAGTTAGTTTCGGTGAAACCACCATTGGCGTAGGTACGGGTTTGGCAATAAGCATTCCAGTCAGCTCCAACAATCCTTGAACAAATTTGCGTTGACTTAACACCAGCTGCTCAGGCGACCTACGAACTTCAACACCAAGGAAATACCCAAGCTCTCCCAGATCCTTCAAGGAAACTTTTTACCAAGTAAACTAACTATTTCATTAATAACATCACTCGATTCACCTGTGATGATAATATCATCTACGTATACAAGTACAAGCGTGCGAACTCCACCCATTCGACGTACAAACAAGGACGCATCAACCGTTGTGCCAAAATCCTAGTTCCAACAAGAAGTTGCGCAGCTTGGCATACCACATACGCGGTGCTTGACGCAGCCCATACAGAGCCTTCTTCGGCCTACAAACCAATCGAGTTCCATCATTTTCCACTCGTTCAAACCCTGGTGGCTGCACCATGTACACCTCTTCTCCAAGTTCCCCGTTAAGGAATGCATTATTGACATTCACTTGTATCAGACTCCAACCATGAGTTACAACTAGAGACAACACAACATTCACTGCTGTGTTCTTCACCACAGGGCTGAATGTATCATTAAAATCGTGGTCGGGTACCTGCGAGTAACCTCTTGCCACAAGACGAGCCTTATGCTTCAACACAAGCCCATCAACATTGTATTTAACCTTGAACAACCACTTACAACCGACTGTTGTACGCCCTTTAGGTAATGGTTCAAGCACCCAGGTATCATTTCTCACTAACGCATCATACTCAGCCAGTACTGCTTCCTTCCACTGTGGATCTTGCAGTGCTTGAGTAATTGAGCACGACTCACTGCCACCACCTCGAGCTTGAACAACAAGCGCCTTTGGTTTAAAGATCCCTCGTTTACTACAAGTGATCATAGGGTGATCATTGTAAACAAAGGAACTCGCTGGAGCAGCCTCGGTCTGACCAGTCACCTCAACAGGAACGAAGGAACTCACTGGAGCAGCCTCGGTCTGGCCAGTCACCTCAACAGGAACTCATTGGAGCAGCCTCGGCCTGGTCAGCCACCTTAATAGGGACTATCTCATCAACCAAACCACCATCATTTTGTCCTCCATGAATATTTTCACTCTCAGCAAGTTGACTGTGCTCACTGTTAGAAGTTCTAGTCGCAGTAGCCTATGATATTTCCTCATTGCATACTGGTGTATTTCCAAACCCGTGCACCACTGCTCATGAAGAATTACCACAAACACGTTGTGCACCTGGAACTACCACCAAAGAAGTTCCAATACATGGCCTTGCTGCAGCCATTCCACTCTTCTTTCCACCTTCAGACTCAGCAAATGGAAATACTTGATCATCTAAGACTATATGCCGAGACATGTACACTCTTCCATCAGGTGCTAAGCACTGATATCCTCGGTGATTCATGTTGTAGCCCAAAAACACACGACTGCGACCTGTACGCCAGATTATAAGGATGAAATACCCGTAAATGAGGAAAACACCTACAACCAAACACCCTCAGATGATTATATATAGGAAGTTTTCCAAAAAGTCTCTCAAATGGTGTATGACCGTGAAGTACCTTAGTTGGTAACCTATTAATTAAGTGAGCTGCTGTAACAATTGCAAAAGACCAGTACTTCAAGGGTAAGGATGCTTGAGCTAGTAAAGTCAATGCCATTTCAAACAAATGCCTATGTTTTCTTTCAACCACCTCATTCTGTTGGGATATATGCGGACACGTCACTCGATGATGAACTCCAGATTGTGCAAGCATGACTGACAGATATCGATACTCACCTCCCCAGTCACTCTGCACTACTTTTACCTCCTTTCCAAACTGAGTTCGAACAAGCCTCTGAAACAATTGAAATGCTTGGATAGTCTGCCCTTTGATTTTCAGTAAGTACACCCACGTATGCCTTGAAAAGGCATCCACAAAGGATACATAATACCTAAATCCATTTGACACAATGTGACTAGGACCCCACAGATCGGTAAACACCAGTTGGAATGGCGGTTCATATCGAGTTTCAGACGCATAAAATGAAGCTTGTGGCTTTTGCCCATATGACACGAAACACATATAGGAAGCAATTATTTATAAACACTACTTGGCAAGATGATATTACATTGTTTGCAAACTTGTAACAAAAACTTATAGGATGGATGACCTAATCGATCATGCCATAGTACATAGTTATTACTAGAATTAATAACTACATTTGCTTCAGCAGCTCGACCTCGAGTAGACAGAACACCAACGAACTCATACAAGCCATCCGTTTCTCTACCTCATAGCAACACATCACCAATTCTTTCATCTCGAACCACATAGTGATCAACATGGAATTCCAAGAATACTCCATTATCCCTAGCAAGCTTGGAAACCGACACCAGTTTCTTAGTTATTGAAGGTACATGTAACAAGTCACTCAACACTAAAGCACGAGATGTAGTAAAAATAGAAGCTCGACCAATTTTATTAATGCACATACCATTACTATTGCCTACAGTAAGCTTACCAACTCCTGTATAATCCGAGCCATCCATAACTTCTGTGGCATCAGGTGTAATATGGTGAGTGGCTCATGAATCCACATTTGTAACAGGCTTAAATCGTTCTTGATCACTTACCCCAGCTGCACTCGCATTCATCTTGTTCCCACACATACAGTTGTTGGAGTTGAAATGACAAGTATTAGCTGTAGGCATTCGATCCTTAAACGAGTTCCTCACATCAGAGTCATCCACACCTGAGAACGACTTATCGAATCGGTACTAGTACCGGTTAACAAGATGACCATTCTTGCCACATAACTGACACTGCACCTTGACACGCCCTCTACCACGACCAGCCTGGTTGTTATAAGCTGGGTATCTTTCTGATGTGACTTGATCTTGTCGAGCAAACCGATTAGCTTTGTCATATATGGAAGTCTTAACTTGTGAGACATTTGCAGCAACAATTATATTATCAAACCTACTGAAATTCTTTTGATGAGTTTCAACGTCAACGAGTACAGACACAACTCATTCTAAGGTCAAGGCATCTCAGCTGGCTGATAACACAGTGACAACCAGCTTATACTCAGCTTATACTCAGCTGATAACCCATTCAAGATGGTCGCAATGTGTTCCAGTTCAAATACTGGACTGCCACATGATGCCAAGGCATCACATATCTCTTTAACTTGAGAGGTGTAACATGCATCCCCAAATCTCATTGATGAACTGCTTTAAGTTGATAGTGCAAGTTCATTACTGTGGTAGTAGACTTACAAGCAAAAATCTTGTTAATTGTTTTCCATACTTGAGCAGCTGTCTCAGCCCCTACTAAATGTGGTAAGAAAGATGGGCTGATTGTAGAGAGAAACCATGAGGCCAAGGCACTGTCTTGGGCCACGAAGATATCATGATCTTCATTTTCAAAAAGCGCTCCATCTTCCAGCACAATCGTCGCAGGCGGAGCAACCACCAGACCAGAAAGCAGTTTCTCAAGCCGATGACTTCTAACCGTCAACAACACCTATTGTTTCCATAACAGAAAGTTTCGTTCATCAAGCACCACGCTCATACGTTTATTAGTAAAACCTTTGGAAGCAGCTACCAAGTGATCTGAGCTGCTCACCACACTACCAGAAAGAGGA